ATTCAATAAAATCAATAAAATTTGCGAATGATTAATTTTATATTTAAAAACGTTATAAATTGTTTAATTTGTATAGAGCTGTATTGGATCAAGAGTTCTGATCCAGAGTTTTGATCAACAGATTTTCATAACTCATAAGTATAGTTAATACTTTTCCCAAAAAATCAATACAATTTATGACCACAGCTTTTTTATGAATATCTTAAGATAAAATTATTATTTTTTGAAAATTTGTACACAACATATTATTACTATTATATTATTCTGCTATTAAAATGTGATTTAAAAATAATTAATGAAAACAGATGTTTGAACTCGTAATATTCTAGCAAGAAAAATTGTTGAAGAAATTAAAAACTGTGATAAAGAAAACAGCTTAACAACAAGTGCTATTAAAATAATTAAAATAATTAAATATTAATATGATGTGCTCTAACTTGTCTTGAACTCAAATGTCGTAATCGCTAAATTCAGATATTATAAAACAACATACTCCAAAATATTATTGTTTCAATAAATTTACTACTCACATAAGATAAGTTAATGGTTCATATTGTTTATTATTTTATGCATTCGTCTATTTTGAGTTCTTAAAAAATGTAGAAAAAAATGACGATCTCAGAGTCAGGAAGATTATTTTTAAATAAATAGTATCTTATGTACTTCATTCAAATACATTAATAATTTATTTTCATTAATTTTTAATTTTGTAATTGAACCCTTAAAATAAGCGTTTTTAGTACCCCATCCCATGTATTGTGTTGTATACAGTAATCCCTCGTTAACCGGGTAGGACGTAGGTTACGTTCTAGCAAAGTTTCGCGGATATCAAAACCGCGGATAACGAGACCATAAACTTCCAATTTTAAATTTTTATTATTTTGCACATATTTTGTATTTAATTTTAAAAATTACAAAAAAGTTAATATGTTTTACAATTATTTGATTATTTATTTTTTTAATATAATTTATTAATTATTTATACATACATAATATATTAGGCCCAACCGCGGATAATCGTAACCGCGGATAACTAGGGATTACTATATTGTGATATATTGATTATGCCTACGGTTAGTAAGATATTTTCTAAATAGCCTTATAACCACATGCTAATTAATAATAACTGACACATGACAGTTTTTTTTTCTTTTTAACTATTAATTTAAGTTATTGAATAAATATTTTATCATTTTAAAACACTCAATACCATTTTGTGTGATGAAATAAACATAGTTATAATTCATTTTCAAATACCGGATTAGTGTTACTAATCTTGAGGTTTATCTTTCAAAATTGATAATTTGTATTACTAAAATCGTACCTAAGTAATCATTTAATTTAAAATATATGTAACTTTGTTCCTTATACAGACAATTATGAACGACCGGATGACTTTCAAAAAATAGTAGAAGTGAATCTTTTCATAACAACTTGCATATGTGTCGTGATCAACTTCACATTATTTTATTCCAACTATGGATTAATAATTCCAGTAAATAAGTACATTTTATATAAAATTATTTTTTTTGAAAAACATATTTTTAACTTTTTTTATAGATAAAAAAAATGAAGTTAATTTTTACGTCATAAAACATTTTATTTAGGGTATTAAAATCTCAGCCGTTATTATTGTGTAATTTACAAAAATAGTAATTATTAACAATATTTTTTTCTGTGTTTGTACTGTTTACTAAGAACTTATAAGCTCTAGAGTCTAGGTGGTTAAAAATTATATCAGAAGTCATGGTTGCAAGTTTTTATCAGTGTTATCTTTTAACAGTGATACAAGTTTTAACCATTATATTCATTAATTTTTATTTTAAAATTGAAAATATTTTATAGCCAAGTGCTCACTAGAATGTAATAGTTATTTTAAGAAAGGCTCTGGGGGGGAGATAACTGATATATCCGCGTACACCCTCAACATAATTACGCCACTGATTCTATTTATTTCTTAATTTTTAGTTTATTTTAATATTTTAGTCCATTCATACTGGTATTTGGTAGATAGCACTTACCTACATAGTTGTTTTTATATACTGCTAAAGCACAGTGCCTCCTATTTACTAATGGCCCTTGCTGCCGATAGTTTTGTATTTCAAGATCAATAAAAAAAAAATCAAAATTAAAAAAAAAAAGTGATAGCTATTGATTAATAATTACACCTGATAATTTCCAATAGGCTAGAACCAAACTGTCCAAACCGATTAGATTATATTTACGTATTATTACTCGTGAGAATAATTATATGTATATAGATTTCTATTATAATTTATAATTTATAACATTGTTAAACATTTGTAGATAATTTTTCTTTTTATTTTAGCCTAATGATGGAAGTAAAGTTAAGATATGGCTGATACACCATGCAATTGCATTTTGCATTTATCTAATGCTGTTCGGCCAATTTGACTTACTTTTATTCTTGAAAATAGTCGAAGGTTATCGAAGTTTTGTATCCGTCTATAGTTTTGCAGCCGCCATGATTATAAGTGCCTATGTTATTTAAAATATCGTAAAACTAAATTCATTTTAATGTTAATTTTTAATTTTATAGTACTTCCGATAGAAATGATTGTTGTCTACGTATTATACAAATACATTTTATCAGTTTAATGGCAATTGTATGGCAGCCCATAAAAGTTCAAATCTGATAATTAGACAAAAACATTAATGACAACATATTACACCATTTTTTTAAAAATCAATCATAAATGTATACTTTTTCAGTCCTATTTATGGAAGTGTACGTCGTTGAATACTTGAATAATCTACAAAAAAAGTTCAAATTCCGGATAATTGACGTAATGAGAAAATTCAGCAACGAAAATACGTATAAAACGTTATCAATAGGTAGAAAACCACAATCGATATGGTTGCAACAAGTGTTTTATAATATTTCAATAAATAAATTTCAATAACTCACGAGTACCTATCATTTTAATATTACTTATAATTATAATAGGTATTTATAATTTATTATAAATCTGCAATAATTCGTACTATTAAATTACTAAAAATAATAAATTTAGAACAGTGGGAAATATGATTTTTTTCTGCAATAACATTTGACAGTCCGACATTTAATACATAGAAAAAAATAGTGTTCTTAATTATTTTAAATGTTTGATAAGGTATATAGGTATATGACAGTATTTTGACTTTAGTCCCTATGAAGTTCTCTGCAATTTGAAAATTGGAGCATTTCTTCTATACTATAAAAAATATCCCTAAATAAAACTTATGAAAAACCTTATATATAATTTTCAAACTTTTTGACCCAAAGAAAAAATTGTATCTACATTTTTGGAAGAAAAACTGAATAAAATAAAATATCAAATGTCAATATAAAGCCCAAAAAGACTTAAAATATGTGATCAAAGAAATGTACTGGTAATTTTTAACATTCCAAAGTTCCAAATAATTCTAATATGTGACCAAAAATCTAAGTTAAATTATCATTCAAAGCATTTTTATTGCGCCAAAAGGTGATAACTTATGAGAAAAACATTACATAGAATTTCTTTTAAAAAGCACACATACGACAAACATGACATAAGCTTTCAGACTTTTAAGTGAGGAAACATGTATAACATTTTCAAGCCTTATAGCCATACAAATTTAAAATTTTATAAATTTTTAATTACCAACAAAATAGTTACCTAGTAAGTTTTTTGAATTTGGTAAATTTTCTCAAAATGCTAATTTTATTCTCTCATAAAAGGTCATTGTAGATTTAGCGAAATTTTTTTTTAAATTCTAGCATGCAAAACTTATGAATAGGTACCTAACCTTTTATTAAGCTTTCAAATATTTTGATCAAGAATATATTCAACCTGCAGGTGAATTGGGGTTTCATAGAACTTTCAAATTATTTTATTTTCATTACGTGTCTGTCCTATCTATACGAATACGACTGGCATTTGTTATATACCTTAATAATTAATAACTTCCTATTTTCCTCTATGATTTGTGATATACTATAAGGACATAACGTTTAAAAATAATAACAATTGAATAAGGCCATAAGGAATACTAGAAGATACAAGGTAATAAAAATATCACAATTTATTTTAATAATATTGCGCTAAATATTTGTTGATACTTAATAGTATAGGACATGTAAAATATTAAAATTAATTTATCATTATTCATTATTGAATATTGATACCCATAAATTATTAATAAATTTCAGTAAACTATCAGGATCAATTACAAATACATGTTACATTGTAACATCCAATAAAAATTCAATATCTGTTATTCTTTGTGCTAAAAACGTTCATTCAATTAACTACACAAAAAAAATATAATATCTGTGTCTAAAAATAAGCAATATTATTTTGTATTATTTGAAGATCTACGTTTTTATACTATATTATTTTAAATACCTATGATTATAGTATGCGGATTACCGATGATTTATACTCTACTACAGCTGGGACGGTTAGGTTAGGTTATCTGTTCTTGCCTTCTTGGTCGCATGTTAGTATCATTGTGATGATCATATTATTCATTATTTTAAACCTCTTAAGTACATTCAATTTTTTTACGTACCTACCATTTTTTATAAAGAATAAACATCCCCCAGTATTATAAAATAAATGATGCTATAAGTAACAACTATTGGATTAGTGTTATTTAAGGTTTAGTATCGATAATTATTCCAATTAGTAGGTAGGTAATAATATTGGTTATAAATACTAGTATTTAGTATTTATAATCAATTGTAATAGAGATAGTAGATTATAAACAACTTTTAAAAATGATTGTAAAATAATTTTTTAGTATATTTTTAACTGAAGAATTCACTATTAAATTAAATAATAAATAATAATAAATAGTAATTTTAATTATTTAAATGATAATTTTAATAAATTCATTTTTCTCATGACAATAAAATCATTTTCAATTCATCAATATACTAGCTTATATATAAAAATATTTCCATGCAGTTTACTAAATTATACATTTATAAATTGAACATTTGATTTTAAATATTACTACAATACATAATAAAAATATATTTTGAAACATTTATAAGTATAAGTCTTCCAAACAAAAGTGTTTCAGAAAAAATTAAAATAGGAGTAAGAATAAACATTCAATAAAGGAAATCATTGAAATGAGGATATATATATTATTTTAGTAAAATATATCTTATACTATAAGTATTGGTATTCGAATAGGGAAATATTTGGAATAGATAGTATTAAAACATTCCTTTTTGTTGTTTGTTTCTTGCTGCATTTCTTCTGTTATGATTCCCACAGAATGCTTTATTCTCATTTTTCCTTTGCCTGACCAACTGAACATTTGACCCAGATGGTGTAGCTGACAAAGAAGTTACTTGTGGTTTATCTAACATTTTTAGTAATTAAATATATTTACAAAAAAATGTATTCATTTTTGTTTTACTGGTAAATACTTACTTCGATTGGAATTTTTAAATTGCTTTGCAGCATATCTTCTAGCTTGTCGTTCTCGAACTTCTTCAGGATTTTCACAGAATGGTTGAAAATTTGATACTTTCTCTAGTTCACCATCTGAAAACTCTTCTTCTACAACTTCATTTAAATATTTTTTCTTCATTAAAACCCTTGGTATAACATCTGGTCTCCTCTTTGTGTTTTCATCTACTGGTTCTGGTCTGACATACTCAATTTCATCATTCATGTCATAAAGTTCATCATTATAATATGAATTTAATTCGGCACATGTGATTTCAGTGACATTATATTTTTCATAAAAAGGCCGCATTTCATTTCTGAATGATTTATTTTCCAAGACTGCATTGAGTTTTTTAAGTTTCCTATTTCTTAATGAAAATAAAACATAACATTAATACAAATTAATTATTTTGTATTTATAAATATTGTATAGTTATATATTATTTCTTGAAGTAATAAAGCATATCCAGCTTACTCTTTAGCTGAAGGATCATAACCAGTAGCATTATCTTCATACTCAGGCATCAAAGGAAGATTTAAATCATATTGAGTAAGTTCTGATGGAAGACAATTATCCAAAACCATACTTATAACTTTTTCAGAATCCATTTCATAATATACTAAACATTTCTACAAAAGATGAAACCTGAATTATAATTAAATGTAAAAATAAAAAATATTAATTAATAACCTGAATAAATCCATCTCCTAAATGGGGCAATAAATCTTTTACATTATTTATAAGAGACTGTAACTTTGCATTCTCTATATTTGTACTAATGGTTTGTATCTATAAACACAAATTTATAATTATTATTTTATATTTTTATTATTAATGAAGAAACTTGATAAAACAATTACCTCCAACTGTTGTTCTTGAAATTCTTTTTGTTTGAGTTCAGTATATGGTTTATTAATCAGTTCTAATGATTTTAATAAATAATCATATCTTGTTGAATCTCTAAATAGTTTCTTTTTATTAAAAATTTTCAAATAAGTTATGTATTAATAAAAAATCTTACATTTCTTTATTGGATTTTTGAAGTTTCTTTATATCTTTGGTTATGTTATATACAAGAGTATAGTCATTGACAAATTCATTGTATTCTAATAGCTCACTAATAACTTCTAAATATTTATCTACTGCATTCTCTGACCTTGTAAAAAAATAAATATAAAACTTTTCATTTGGAAATATTATTAACTTAAAATAAGTAAATATTTACATATTTTCCATTTGAGGAAAGTTATGAATTAAACACTGTCTGACAGTTTTCACAAGAAATAATCTTGATGAGTGAATCTTTTCTTGAAATTTTTCTAGTTTATTCATAGCGACTACTTTCTTATAAACTTGTGGTTTTATAGTATGATAAAAGGAAGCTATTCTAAATAAACATAATAGAACAATTAAATGTATTAGTTAATTTCAAATTATTAATTCGCTAAATTTGTCATACATACTTAAGATGCACTTTTTCTTCATAAAAAAATCTAGAGTTCATTGGATACATTTCCAAGAAACTTGAAATACTATATGATGTGTCTAATAAATAATTAACTATATCTTCCATCAAACAAACATTTGTTTCTTCAATGTCGGTAGAGGTTTTATTAATCTGACACCAATTATTGCCATATTCAATGTCTATTTCAATTTTATCCTGAAACTGACTTAAGCACTAACAATTTTGTTATTTAAAATTGTTTATACAAATATTATACTTAATTAGTTATTTTATGTAAAAACTCACTTTAATTATAAATTGTATAAACATTTTTAAATTTTCTGTGTATAATTTTTGACAAGTAAACAATTCCTTGTAAATTATTTTTAATTCCTTTTTATACAATTCACCATAAATGGAGCATATATCAAACAACATGGGAATACTTATAATATTGTTATTACATAACAAGCCCCACATATATTTAGGTGACATATGATTTTCCTAATGAAAATAATGAAAATAAGTAAAAGAAATTATTAAATTGCTTAAAAACACTGTGCATATTATTACTTTATTTTCAGAGGATGTAGTTAGTCGTTTAAATAATTTATAAGCAAAATGATCAATTTCACTGTAAATGATCAACACATCAGCATCCTGTGAAAGTTGATCCATCAAGTGAGGAGGAGCAGCTTCTTGGAGGAATGTACATAATCCTTTAGTAGCTAGTTTATTAAAAACAACTGTAGACCAAAATCTAAAACATAAAAATAATATTAATTATAAACTCAAATATATATTAACTATTATTATATTTACTGTTTAAATGATAAATTGAGAAGCGTTTTGAAGTCTTGAACCAAATACTTCATCTGTTCTATCCAACATTCTTTTTGAGCCAAATCATTGGTGATTGATTTTGATGGATGAATATATCCGAAGAAATTATTTCTTAAAGCTAACTTGTTATCCTAAATATTTTAATTCAATAATTATAAAATTATTATTATTGGTTATTATTTTTATTGTATTTTCCTTACTTATACACATATTGTAAAGAATGTCTATATTTTAATTATTATTCAAGTTTCTATTTTGTTTATCTATAAGTATTAAGAGGGCATTATATCCATACTGCCATACATGTTATACATCATAGCAAATTCGTGTTGATTGATCAGTTATTATTATCATTATTATTTAGATATTTAACGGTAATATAGTACGAATACTCATTGTTAGTAAACAAATAGTTGACATTTGAATTTGGAAAAAATAAAATAACAATAATGATAACAATAAATGGAAATCACAAATTAGTCATTAAAAATAATTATAAAATTTAAAGGTAAGAATATTATCCACAGTATCTAGTAGGGCAGGGATGGCAAATCCCTGGCACGCGTGCCCGAGGTGGCACTCGAAAATTTTTACTATCATACCCGATGAATGCAGTGCCACATGTACTTTATTGAAAGTTACTAATTATAAACCAAATATCAACGAATTGGCATCAAATGTTCAACAACAAATATCACATCAAAATAGACAATTAACAAAGCAATATTATTACACTTATTATGTACCTAAACGTCCTAAACTAACCTTTTTATACTAATACATTAATTATACAATCAAATTATAGTATAAGAAAATATAATATTTTTAATATTTTTTTCATCGTACCCTCTTAAAAAAAAGTTAATTTTGGGCACGTAGTGTTCAAAAAGTTTGACATCTCTGTTGTTGGATATTATTAATACTTGCTTTTTAAAACGAGTTTTATTTTATTAAGATGATAATATTTTACATGGTTATAACTGACTTTAAAATTAAAATATCAATTAAAGTCTATGCAATAAATAATCACTATAATACTACAAATTAAAATTTAAAACACAAAATGGATTTTTCTCAATGTACATTTTCTATATTTAATCTATGTATCTACTATAGTAGATATTTACAGTGTTTGGAAGGAACGTCGTTCATTAACTCACGTTCACAAGTTCACATTCATATTTAGTGAACGATAATCGAATGTCACTTGATTTTTAAAACTAAACTTTGAACGATTTTTAAGCCGTTTAAATTTATTTGACATTTAATAAATACATGTTTGAAATATTCTTTATACACTCCACTACTAACAATTCTCAACCTCGAAACACTTGAACAACGTCGTCTGCGATTAGATTTGTACTTTTCGTATAAACTTTTTTCAAGAAATATAGAATGTCCTGAGTTCCTAAGTCGATTATCCTTCCATACCCCTATTCGTAACTCCCGGTCTAAAAACACTTTCTATCTAAACACAGAAGTAACTAATTACGCAAGCAATACTCCCCATCATAGAATTATGAAAACTATAAATAAATTAAATATCGATCTGTTCATATCACCAAACTTCAACTCATTCAAAAATTATTGTAATTCCTTACTTGTTAATTCATAGCTATAAGTATGTTATATAATAATTAATATTGTACCTTTTTTGTTTTTCTCTATAATTATTCTGTTTATGTATATTACTAACGATCGATTGTTGTTATAATTATTATTATTATGTATGTAATTGGGCCTGGCCCGTTTAAAACTTAAAACTTAAATAAATAAATATATTAATTATATGATAATATTTTTTTATTATAATTTCTATTGTAAAAAAATTTAAAAAAATTAAATGAACGACCTAGTGAACGCATTCATTTTTTCAATGAACGTGATCGTGAATAAGTTTCTTTTTAAGGACTGTTCGTGAATGTGAAGGAATTCATTTTTTTAGTGCACATTCCAAACACTGAGTATTTACTAATTACAATACATATTTTATAGTACCTATGTATCAAAGTGTATACTACACAATTTATTAAATGTAATATAAAATACAATAATAGCCGTGACTAGATATTATTCAAGACTTTTAGACTTGAATTAAAAATAATAACTATGACAAAATCTATTAAATTCTATAAAGTACTGTGTATTTAATCAAGTTAGATTATAACGATTATGCTTTAAATGAGTATGACTATTATGTAATTACTATTTTTCTGTTTTAAAATTTCAAAGCAAATTGTTAAAACTGGCATATATTTATTTAATAATACAGTTATTATACTACATATTCCAGAATCAACTAAATAATAGAGTTAGAATTATGTAAAAATTTTTGTGAAGACTAAAATAATGGTAGGTTAGTATATAAGCTCACGTAAGCACAATTCACTTTCAAAGAGAGCTTTGTTCAGAATTTACATAATATAATAAAATATCAATTCAAAATTTTACTTCGATAGCCATTTAGGCGTTCGTTTTGAGATGACTACTGCAACGAAACAAAATGTTTGATACTTAATAGGTACCAGATAAGTTTAAGAAGTACCTACTTCAATAGAAAGTACCTATAATAATATATATAACTCATACAATTTTAAATATATTTTATAATAATACATTAAAAATAATGACATCGATCTAGAAAAACCAAATCAGATGATTAAATTATTGATTATTCCGTGGGCGAAACCGTATGATGATGAAAATACGATGAAACATGTGATAGCCAAGGCCCTAAGGGGAGGGATAACAGCTGACTGACGGCGCTTCCTGCTGATAGCAAATGCAGACAATGCAGTATGCAGTGTCATCCTCCTCTTCAATTATTTTCACCGCTAGTGGGTGGAGGGAGTTGGGGGCAGAGCAACTGTGGGCGACCGGAGCCGGTGCCCGTGCCCGATAGAAATAAGTGAGCTGATATAATGGCTGCACTGTTGAGGTACACTCATTAAAGTTAACCTTCACCGCGGCGGCACCTCCAAGACAAAAGAATTTTACCACTATCACTGCTGAATGGGGGGGACCTTAAAGAGGCCTCATACACGACCAATATTCGACCGGATAATTAATTATTGACTGTGTACAGGTTGTATTGACCTTATCAAAACCGTTTTGATTTTAATTGATATCAATAATATTGATAGTGAATGGTACTCCTTAGTCTTTAGTCAATAGTCATTAGCACGATTTAAGATAATATTATATGTATTATACTAATATACCATAATACTTACATGATTCGTGGCCATTGATGATTAAGTCAAACCCACATAAATATTATATATCTGTGGTCAAACAAAAGATTATAAAGACGTCTAAAAGTCTGATAGTGACATAGATTATGAATTTTATGATATGTCAACCATAGATAATAAAGAATGGATAGGCCATTCCTATATTAACCAAATAGTGGGTCGTGTGCCGGAATGGGGAAGAGAGAAGGACTGATTTTATCAATGCCTCTCATTCTAATAGCGGTCTTATCACAGAATAATCAACAGAATTATAGACCTCTATATCCTCAAAATATTTTCATGTTCGTTCCTCAATGATAAGCATATTACATGGCCTATCTATTCTTTATTATCTATGATGTCAACAAATAATTAGTTGATAAAGAAATTTGTTTTTTTTTAAATAAATGAAGTTGTTTTGTTGAAAACAAAAGTTGAAAATTCGCTAGTTGTCTCTTTAAAATATGAAATCCCAAAATTAAAAATAAAAATGAGTGAAAATCCTGGTAAACAAATAGCGTTGTGCACGTCCGTAAAAAAAAACTTCAAAAAGTTTTAATTTAAAAACTACAATTATCCGAGAATTGATTTTGCCTGATCATTCTTATTTTCTTAACTCGTTACTATTATGTAATTCCGAAAAGAAACCAATGTCTAAGTGGGGTGGTAAAGTGCATTTGTTCCGTTTATTTATTTATTATTATATTAAAAATGTCATAAAATGATATTGAGCATAGAGCGAAAAAATTGTAATTTTAAAAAAACACAGATTTAACATAATACAGCATAATATTATGAGTTATGGCGTATATATCATGTCTATAAATATTATATTTAAAAATTACTAAACAAGCTTTTAATCATGATACAAACAATCATACCATTGCATACAAAAAACGATTCTGAGTGTGTAGGATATTTTACATTGATATTGCATATTATTAATATGTTAGCCCGTAAATTGAATTAATATTATTCTTAAATTACCATTGATGCTGGAAAAATATTTACTATACCTATGTAAAATTGGGTTGTTTTGGAACCGAATTACGACAAAATGATAAACGTTACTCTTTGTGTTAGTATGCAATCTTATCCAAATTTGAACTTAAAATGTCTGTAAAAAATAACTGTATTCATTTTAGATTTCTTAGTTATGGAATAAACTACTTATAAGTGGAACCTTATTTTAAATGTTCAATCCTTAGCTTTAAAAATTGAACATTTTATAAATTTTTAGCTACAAAATCATTTCCAATTTTCAATTTGATAAATACTGTCAAAATTTGAATTTTAAATACTTATAAAAAATCTTGTCTTTGTATTTTTAATATTTTTCAACTGATATTGTTACAAGTTATTTTAAGTCTTGTATGTATTACATTTTCTTGCTTTAAAGGTTCTAAATGTATTATTTTTTATACTTCAGGCTTACATGAAAAGTATTGATTTGTAATAAATTATAAAAGTATTAATAGGAAAGTCATATTCAAATGATACTTGTGAATTATGTAATTTATTTATAAGTGTATTTTAGAAACATTTGTTGTAGCCATCGATGTGGTTGTCCATAATTGACACTGATTTATCCATTTTTTAACTGAATATTCATATTCCGTCAACTCTCCGGAATTTGGCCTTATTTGAGATTATTCAACGACGTACACCTCTATAAATAGAACTGAAAAACGTATGCATATATTTACGATTGACTAAAAATTAAAAATTGTACCTATGCTGTCATTGGTGCTGTTACCTAATTGCCACATTTAAGCGTTTAAGGGCTGGTTTCTATTATTACGGCGATAAGATGATCGAATTGGTTTGTAGGACATGTAGTAGACAAACAATATTTCTAAACATATAACTATACAAAATGTACAGTAAAATTAATTTAGTTTTTAGATATTTTAAATGTAAATAACATACTTATTGTCATCGAATATGACCAGCCTACCACGGTTACGAATGTATGTGAATATTCTTGAAAAACACCCATATATCTCAATACAACTTGGAAATTTATTAAGATTGTAATAAAAATAAAAAGACCAAATGCATGATGCATCATCCACATCTTGAACTCCCTAAAATCTCTAGGCTAAAAAAGTTATTTATACATTTTTTTAAATTTTAGTAGTTATTTATTATTAGATTATGTTTTCTCATAAAATAATATTATAATCTTATCTCGGTTATAGCTAATAGATAAAATAAAGTGCAGTAATTAATATGTGATGAACTGATAACTCTATTTTAAATTTTTAACAAAAAAAACTAATCAAGTACAAGTATTAACAACCATTAAGTGTATCTGAACTAATAAATAAATATAAATGCAAGCCAGCTATATAAATAAATAAAAATGGTTATTTTTTTTTGAAATTGGTTTTGCTGATTTTGTTATAGCTCTAAAATCATTTTGAAATATTGAGTTTAAAAAAAATTCCATATTATATCCAGATTGACGATCGTATTTATACTACGCATAGTATGAATTATATGGCAATATAAAAAAAGTTTATTAAGAAATTTAAAAATCTGTAATTAATGTAATTTATAAAAACAAATGTCAAAAGTATTTTCTAAAAAATGTTATTATTCAAAATGTAATTATTTACTTGAATTATTGAGTTGTAATTAACATTTAATAATATGATGTTGGTCACGATCCATATCATAGTTCCAATAAATACACTTAATTCAGCTATTTTGTGATATTTATCCAGTTTTGCAAAATGATCTTCATAAGAAACAAAGTTACATATTTTCAATTAAATTAATAAGTATAATTTTAATAATATAATATATTATTTGAAAAAAGAATACACCAGGTATAAATTTATAATTTAATTATTTTAAAATTAGTTTTAACTGTTAATTTTTTTAATTACATTTCATATCTACTTTCATCATAAAAGAAATATATTTAATATTAGTAAATTATGAGAACATTAATCAATGACTTAAATCCAACAATTTATATAAATATAAATTAAATAGATGTTCAATATTGTTCAAAAGAAAAAAGCGGTCTTGAGTCATTCCAATTAATGATTTTTATGAAATCATCATAAAATTATATAGAAAATAGCAAGTCTCAAAAACAACAAACTGTAGTGATAACCGGAATGAGGCACTAAAACGGCTTTTATTTGAGGTTCAATTATAAAATTAAAAAACGAATGTTTAATAATGTTAACATATTGGAATGAAGTGCATGTAAATATATAATATATAATTTATTTAATAATTATTTCCCCGACTCTAAGATATTTTTTTAAAAAATTTCTATAATAGTAAACAATAGAATTTTTATTAGACACCATTCACATTTTTTTATGTGAATGCTTAATGTTGCGTCCTATACTAAAGTAATTTAGAGCATACGTCATTTAAGCAAAAGACAAGCCAGCGCATATCACTTGTTGTTAAGCCATTAGTTTTCTTTTACACAAGTTTTAATTTCTTCTACCGTTTTTTGCTTGTTGAATTTAATCACATCTAAGATCTAACGAATTCAACGACAGTCGACGATTACATCCGATTTTCTGTTTATCTAATGTAGAACCATAGGCGTGCGTGGGAATCTAGTATGAGATGTGCCATGAAAAAAATGAGCCATTTTCCGTTACATAGGCTTTAACAAATCTAATCTCATCAGCAACTCCCCCCCCCCCCCCCAAAAAAAAAAAACAACAAAAATTGAAGGCATTTAACGCAAAATATAAATTCATAAAAACACATTTGGTTAGTACATATATTATGTACCTATTTGTGTTTCACAATTCACAAAAACAAATAGATTATTATTAAAAATATGAGTATGTATATTTTATTAAATGTTTCATTCTTATAGATATCTTTTAATAATAAATTACAATAGACCTACATTAAAATATAAAATAAAATAATTATTTCACTTTTTAATTACATCACTAAATTTAAAATCACATTTTTAATAATAGAAAGTTATAGGTTTCGTTTTTTAAATGTAAAATTAGAAATACTCGCCTTGGAATAAAAATTAATATTATATCACTATTAAGATCGATCTTGAGCATTATATTCATTCATTTTTTATTTACTTTCCATTTTACAAAATTGTAGTATTTATATTTTGTTTAGATTTTTTTTTATTCTAATACGACTACAGGTTGTATAACTATATACCACAGATTTAATAATAATAATAACTTAATAATGACAACAAATTGTTGATTTGTAAAGTTGGGTTTTTGAGTGTTATAAAATGTATACAAATTATAAGAAATTAAATTCGGATAAAAAATTGATATATTTTATTATTTCAAAATGTGCCAATGATTTTTATACGAAGCATATTTCAAGTGCATAATTTAAAAATTTTAGTACACATGGATACAAATTTCTGAATTTTTAGTGCGTATTTGAATGGATATTTTGCCAATGTTTAGTTCATGAATGCATGTTAGCTAATTTATGCACTTTTTAGTGCATGAACTTACGAGCCCTGGGCCACTAATAATATAAAATACAAACAATATAATATAATAATATTGTCGTGAGCTCGAATGTCGTATGAGCTGAATATTGACCGGCGCCAAAATGTTTGAGCTGAAAATACCAAGCCCAATTATTTACACAAACACCGTCTCGTACTGTCCAATATTATATAAAAAATTGTGGGAATATTTGATTTCACAATTTTTAAGTATAAGCACTAAGCAGTACATCATGATATCAAGCTCTAGCTGCATACCTATTTTATTTCTGTAACAATTCGTTATCAAAATTAATTATTCATACGTACCACCGAACACATATTTTTGATACACCGTTATTATTATCATTCCAATTATTTCAACGGGAAAAAGTATCTGAAAAAAAAAATTATAATAAGTTAACATTGTAAACTGCATAGTAGTCAATAACCATACATATTGTGAACGTTATATACTTTTTTATAATATGATTGCAAACAAAAGCTTTTCTTATAAAATATTTTTTTGTTTTAGCCAAAAAACGAATGATTGCTAAGGTTTTTTTAGTTTACGTTTCCAAGTTTACATAGTGTATAATATTTGTCTGAATTTGTTTAATTTTATTTGGAGGTTTAATTAAAACATTTTTTTTTCAAATAAGAACTATTCGATATTAATAATACTGTTACATTATAGCATTATACAAACTAAAATAAAATGTTACAAAAAAATAGTGTTTAAAATGTTGATTAATTAACATCATACCTTGGATTTACTTAGGTTTTTCTGCCCAAAGATACGATGGAAACAAATTGGCCTCTATTAAAAATCAAAAATTTTTTTTCACCAGTTTCAACTTACAGTTGAGCCATTGTTTTGTTGAATGATGTAGGGAAAACGTGGTACATTTTATGGCGGCTATCGTACATAGCTTTACGCACGGATTATATATCAGTATATCACTGTATCTTATGTATTGTATTTTGTAAGATTAGCTTTAATTAATTAACGGGAAAACGTATTTTTGCAATCGTAGATCACTCATTTCAGATAGGCCCACAGACAAAAGATATTATTTGTGACTAAGTAATTGTGATGAACCGATGAAGCAGTGGCGCAATTTTTGCAGGAGTGAGGAGAGGCGTGGATTCTGACTCAAAATATTTTTAATTTTTTTCCGAATTCTACGTAGTATGCAGTTGTACCTATACTTGTGTAACTTCTACATACATTTGAAACATTTAAGTAGTTATAACATATTAAGTATATTTAAACACTTGATATGAGTCTAAATTGGTTTCCATTATGCATTATCTATAAATAAAAGTTAGACCATTGCATTTGGAATTAAAATATTTGGCCATGTATGATACACCGTAAACTCCGGCGAAAACTAAATATTTGTTTTCGACAAAATTATGAAAGGTTTGGTTTTCGTTTAAAACACACGCTGTATGGTACAATTTCAGTGGTAGTAAAAATGCAGAACAACAAATAATTGCAAGTCCATGTATATTTAAACAAATATTAATAAGATATATTATGTAGAACTTCATCCTAATATTAATACATTTTTAATTTTAAAAAAGACGAAGTGGTTCACAGTGACACAATGCAAAACAATCAAGCACTAAGCAAGGACATCAAAAAAGATAATTCAAAGTAAGACACACTAAAATCGATTTAAACTTTCCACCGTGGAAAATAGAACCATGATTTTTCTAATTGTAAATACAAACACTATAATATTAATGTAAAAAAAAGTGGGTAAGTGGATGTCGCTCTGCTGTACATAAGGTGTCTAAGAAGCTGTAATGGATGGCGTATTATATTTGAATGTAATGATATCTAATCATTGTATACGAAAACCGATTCTGAGCGGAGACGGTACGTCAGTTTAGGATCTTATATCGTTATTACTTATTAGTTATTATTAATAAGATACCCAGTAAGTTGAATTAATATTATTCTTAAATTATCAGTGATGCTGGAAAAATATTTACTATACCTATGTAAAATTGGTTGTTTGTTTGGGGCCGAATTATAACAAAATGAATAAACGTTACTCTTTGTGTTAATATGCAATCTTATCCAAATTTGAACTTAAAATGTCTGTAAAAAATAACTATATAAATAAATGTTTTATTATTTCTTAGTTACGTAAAAAACTACTTAACTGGAACCTTGTTTTCAATTTTCAATCCTTAGCTTTAAAAATTGAAAATTGTATACATTTTTAACTACAAAATCATATCCAATTTTCAATTTAATGAATATTGTCAAAATTTGAATTTTAAATGCTTATAAAAAAATCGTGACTATGTATTTATAATATTTTTCAACTGCTATTGTAAGAAGTTATTAAGAGTCTTGTACCTATTAAATGTTCATGTTTTTTAACCAAACTAATCAAGTTTTATTGACATTTATAGAAAAAAATGAAATAAAAATGAAAATTGAAAATGTCCGTCAACAACTTAAAACGAGTCAAAATATTATTAAATAATAATCAAAAATTTCATATGATTATATAAATAGTTAAACACAAATCAAAATATTTTGAACATTTTAAAGTGTATTGAAAATGCTTAAACAACTTACAAATATTCAGTGAAAATTTCATGTATCTACGGTAATTTTTGTTTAAGTTACATTAAAAACCAAAATAAATTTTTTCAAAAAATGGTTTTGCGTAAAAATTCCCGTTTTCCTTAATTTTTTGTTTGTTTTTCCTGTTGCTTTTGAAAACTATTGGAAATTTTAAATGTTGACCACCTCCCGAATCACCATATAGATTCACTTTCCTACCAAAAAAGTTGCTGTTGAAGAAAATCGAAGCACTTTTACTGCAAGAAACCGTGATGACAGACACAATAAATAAATAAATAAACATAAAAATACACATCATTGTAAAATCAATACATTCATCCCTCCGCTCAGAATCGAAAAGCGGATAAGTAGGTTACTCTCTGTTGTACCTACATTTGGTGTCTAGAAAGTCATATCAATGGATATGTTTAATAATACAATGATATCATAAAATCATTCTATACGAAAAACGGTCTGTCAGCCTAAAATATTACCAAGTTTATTTTTTATGATATTATTGTGATTAAATTAATTTATTTTACTATTAGCTATTAATAGTATTACAGTAGGTTAAATAAAATTTTTGCTGAAAAAAGTATTTGAAAATGTCATTGCATATTGTATAAAATATAATAATAAACTCTAAAAAGTTTCGAGTACCCACGAATAATCTTTTAAAAATAACTAAAATCGTTATTCTTGGTTTTAAACTTTTAACTTAAGTGTCGGTGGAAAAATTAATTTTTCTACTTATGAGAATTTTTGTTTTTAACTTTCAATTCTTGTTCTATTTTTAACTATAAAATCATTTGAAGATTTTTATCATTTTGATAAATGTGTTGATAATCTATAAAAATTTGAACTTAAAATACTATAAAAAAGCCATGATTATGGATCTATAATATTTTCGACTGCAATTGTTACTAGTTATGAGGAACCTTGTATTAAAGTTTTTAAGGTCATAGGTACACATCCTTACTTTATTAATGACGACTTTGAAAAGTACTGGGATTATTTTACTTTTGACTCCTCAAAGTAGGTACTAACTAGATTCACTTTCGTATACCAGAAAAAATGCTGAAACAGAAAATCGAAGCATTTTATAGCCCCTAAAGATAACGACAGACTCAAAGAAACACACATAATTATAAAATTAATACATCCATCGCTCCGCTCGCAATCTAAAATGTAATTTTAAGTGTTTAAACTAATGTATCAATACAAAGAAACAGTTATAAATTAAATATCGCAAAAATGATATAATATTCAAAACAACAGTACTAGGTATCTGTATGCTTAAGATTTGAAGAAATAAAAATCATACCTATTTTCACTTTGGCAGAAACGAACATTTTTGTTTTGGTGGAAATGAATAACTCCCATAGATTTATCTTATAAACCTAATCAACGATTACCTACCTATATCAAAAACTTGTATTAGCAGTTAAACTATATTAACTATTAACTTATTTAATTACATTTAACTACTTCAATTATTTTTATTTTGGTCAGTCTTCGAAATTTAATAAAAATGTTTTCTTTTTTTCGATTTCTTATTTTTGACTTTAAGTAAAGTTTTCCAACTTACAAAATTTAAAATAATGAACTCCTTCCAAATATCCCACTCGTCATCCAGAGGTCTGTTCGTCTGAAACGTCTGCTGCATATTTAATAATTTATATTACACCGATTATAATAAACTACGTGGGTTTATGTATGGTTGAACGTTTGGAACGGAATCTTATAACTTTTAATAGTAACTACTTATAACATTAAATAAAAATATTTCTAATTCTAAGAAAAAAGTACTGGTATCTGAAAAAATATTATTAAAACACAAGCGCTAGTCGCGTAGTTACTATAGTTAGGTGGCATAAGTGCTTATTATTAATGAGCCACTGAAGTGACTGAACGTATTTGTTAATTATTTCAAACATAAATAAAAATTCAAAATATCAAAAATATTGCACAGTTTACACTTTTGTTAAAATTGTGTTTAAAATGGAAATACTTGAGAACTAGTATTTAGTAATGATGAAAAATGTGACAATTTTTTTTGTGAAAAGATAATGAATAATCCGGACGGGCCACCGAGACTATGCCATCACAAGAGAGCAGATCTGTATGCATTAAAAACTCACCAAATATACTCTAATAATCTTAAATACGAATAAATATTATAATATGCTCTAAAATGTTCAAACATGAAAATATTATGCCCTCAAAAAATAACAAAAATATACTTATTTTCTTTCTTATTAATTTCTGAAAATTTAATTGAAAATAATAAATAGTATTAATAAGTTATGGAACGCTACTAAAAATACTTTTTTTTTAAATATGTGTATTTTGTAGGTAGGTTTAATCTATAAGCATAAAAATTAATTCCCAAATAAATTTGGGAAAACCGTGTATACCTACTAGGACACTAGGTCACTAGGATAACTACCAGGCCATCATTTAGACATTAATTGAAACTAAATATAATTTTTTTTCTGTCCGTTCGGTGTAAATAAGAAAATGAATTACTTTTAGCATGGGCTATATAGGCACCACATACAGGCACACGGTTGATAGCTCCATTTTGTAAGTGTCATTACACTATGCGTTATTCGTCAGCATATATACAACATCGCAACTGCCAGCTTCATAGGTAATAGTATTATAGGTTCATACGTAATTAATAATGATAATTTTAAGGGTCACAACTCACCCACAGCCAAAATTCTTATAGATATATGGGGCTATACGGCCATATACCAGCGTATCGTCGTTTATTTAGACAATATGCGCTCAAAAAAAAAAAAAAAATAGAGAAGTGAGTACCCCCTTCCCCCCACCAATACATCATTGTTTATACTAGTATAAGGTTTATAGTTCACAGACTAAGATAATATTATATAATAGGTATTATATATTTTAAACGTGATCCTAAACTTGACCGCACCGAGTATGTTTTTAAGTGATTTAATTACCCAGTCTACTTGTAAGTTGTAACTAATCGCAAATACATTAAATCATTTCAAGTGTTAATCGCAGTAATTTGGAAAACGCTTTATTTTGTTTGATATGGACCAAGGTTATTCAGTTGACAGGGGAACTAGTGAGTAATGACTAATGACTCATTAGTTCATAATTTTTAATTTTTTAATATAATTTTTTTTATTGCATATTTTTTTACATATTTTAATGATTTTTACTGCATATTATATGGCATATTTTGATACTTTTTAGTGCATATTAATCCGGGCTCTACTAATGAGTAATGACATATGGAGATCTATTTAACACGATCAACGGTTCCACGGTCGACGGGTAACATTGGCCCGATCCTCGTCGTCGACAAATATGATGTTCACTTTTATAATTTTAATTATTTTTTTTTACTGGCGATCAGTAAGTTGTCCTCTCGACCATTGAAATAAATTGCACGCGATCAGGAACTGTCTCAAAAGTATAATGATGATATAATAAATTGGTTTTTATTTTTGTTTATTTTTTATGTTGGTATTTATTTTTTCCTCGAAATGACGACGTTGTCGAACGTTGATAACAATAATATTGTACGTATTCTATATTTACGAATACTATAGTTGATTTAATAACATCAATAACATTTATTGTAAAATATGTTCTGATGTATACAGCGTGTTTCTACAGAATACAAAGTGATTGGAAAAATATAAAATTATTTTCATAACTTTTTTAATTTATATTTAATCCATCACTGTATTTACGATTATTTATCCTAGCGGGGTTGGTAATTCTCATTCGTAAGACGTTCCATTTAATTATTAATTTAAAAAATAATAATTTTAGAAGCATACACAGGATAAAGCGGGATAAAGTGTGTTTCTGCGAGCGGCCGCCGATGTCGATCGGACGTATTTTTGGCGCGGAGACACGGGCAATGCACTGATTTACTACGTTTATAGGTCCTTACACACTGTTCCGGTGGCGGTAAAATTCCTTTGCCTTGGCGGTGAAATGTGTCCAGACTCATTTTGACGCTGTCGCGCCGCCACCGCCACTGCCACCGCAATCGTTGCAGTGTGTCGGACCTTGCAGAGGAGCTCGACGTGTTAACGACGATGGATTAAGATAACCGGGGTTCTGGGTGCCTGGTTTATTGATTACACGTTATCACGTCTAGAATACATAAATACTAAATAGTAAATACCCGAACGACGCTTCGACGCATAAAATTGGCGGTAAAATCATGACAAAATAGATCTATTATAGTCTATAGAGTAGATATTATAATATAATAGATCTATTTTGTCACGGGTAAAATTATATTGTAGACTGTAGTAGTCTGTTGAGTACCTAAAAAGTAAAAACCTTCCAATCTTCCGATTCGGGAGACAGACGCACAGTTATCATTAAATTCTGTAGCATTGTGTAGCAGACATCGACAATTATTAGTGTAGGTACCTACTTGATATCGTTTATTATAGTATTTGGGCACAGTCATTACTCAGTACTCACTATATTCAAGACTAGACCAGTTCATGTGCGATGAGGATCAACCATCGGAAGTCGGAGAGTTATTTTGTAATTTCAATTGTGTGATGAAATATTTTGAATAGGTAAATATAAGTTTTAATTTTTAGGGTTATAGGTACTCGCATCATAAATCATATCGTCAGATCCACAGTTAAATAATATCATCGTCCATTACTGGTTCTGTCACTGATTTGAAACTACGGTAAATAAGTAACAAAATATATACCCATAATATTCATTGTTCTACCAATGTTAAATCATAAATGCAATATTATATTATTTAATAAATTGTAATATATCATCTAACTATCTAAGTATCTAACTATATTTTTTAAAAATGTGCATCGACATCTATATTTATTGAAAAATATTTTCCTGCTAATGATAAAATCAAAGTGATTATGTATTTCAAATCTAATATTGGTTCTGTGTTTTGAATTTTTACTTTTTACATAAATCCTCCAAAATGACAATTAAGTACGTAAGTAAAAGTTATATTAAAATAAACAAACGATAAGAAAAGAAGCAATCCTATTTTTAATTTCATCGCCTACTTACTACAACAGCTATTCACTATAACTTCCTAAATCAAGAACATTGTGGCCTGGAAATAACTTTGATCATCACCAAATGTCCGTGTAAACTTTGCAACAGCAACAAATAAAAAAACTGGAGTGACGCTTGGCAGTATGCTGACAATGTAGAAGCTAAATTGATTACTTATTATTTATATTTAAAATCACTTACTAATCACATTAGTAGAATTATAATTTATATGTTGGCATGTTGTTCTTGCAACTTAGTAATTACTAATTACTTACTGTTTTTTCTCATAATATCCACAAATTACGCCACGGTGAAGCGAATGGCGGTTATTACATTATGCATATTGCTCCATATTTTTAACAAAATGCATATTCAACTATTAATATTTAAAATGCATATTTTATGTTAGGTATATTCTTAAGAAAAGATGGACTTATCTATCCAAAAAATACACTATTCATCTAATTTATTATAAAAGTAGCAAGAATAATAATTTAATTTACATCTTTTATTCTCCTACATCTGCTACAATACTTATAGATTAGATTTAACATTTAACATTATTCTACAGCCTTGAGTTTGCTGCACCTAAGGTAAAATAAGTATGTAATTGACATAGCTGTTGTGTATTATGAGTGTTTTGTGTATTCTTGTGAATCAAATTAATTTTGATTTTTGTTGTTTAAAATGCCAAAAACACAAAATATTAGCTCAAAACTTTGATAATATGTCGATGAATTTTCTGATATATCGAATAACACTTTTTTTAGAATTTGAGACCAAGCAGTTGTACCAAAGTTTCATATTTTTACACATTTATAATACACCAAATGCATATTTTACCAATTTTGATTGCACATAAATCCTAACCCTACTTGATTGTAATTAAGATAAGAACAACTAATCTGCTTGTTATTTATTTTAACAATTATTTATACAACTAATTAATTTCTAAAGAGTAAAATAGTATAACTTTAACAGTATTTTCTTAAGTATTTATATTTTATAGGAATTATTTTATTGTTACTTACGTTTTATAAACTTAAATTTAGTATACAGTTTTAACACAATCATGGTATGAAAGTTATTAATTATTTTTAACTTATCTTCAAAGGTGTGAAAATGTTAGGTATGTCGGTAAACAAAATGGATGACTTACAGACTGCATCATGTGAAAGTGATTTAAAGCAAGTTCTGAAATCCATTGCACCTGCACAAACAAATTTTAAAAACAGTTATTACTCTGGTAGATTACTTGAAAATTTACAATCTTTCCGCAAGTATGTTGTGAGTGATTTTAGTTGCTTACCAAATAAATATAAGTAGTAATTTTTGTTTTTAGAAACGAAGTTTTATGTGATATTAAATTGAAAACTGATGATGGTACTATAGTATTTGGACATAAAAATGTTTTAGTAGCAGCTAGCCCATATTTTCAAGCAATGTTCAGTGTTTTCAGTGAGAGCGATAAAGATCTTGTTAAAATTAAAGAGTTAGATTCCAACGTTTTACAACTATTAATAGATTATATTTATACTGGTGAAATTATGGTTACAATTGAAAATGTACAGGTGTGAATGATTATTTAAATTGTTATAGATTTATTTAAAAACTATTTAATTTATTATTATTGATTTTTTAAGGTTTTGTTACCAGCAGCAAATGTATTACAGTTAGACTATGTAACTAGTGCATGTGTTGAGTTTTTACGAACACAACTGGATCCTTCAAATTGTATTGGTATCAAAGCATTTGCTGACTTGCATAATTGTACGGAATTGATTTCAAGTTCTGAAGCATTCATTAATAAAAAGTTTTTGTATGATAATACATCACCTAAATCTTTAGATCTGTTGGTATATATTGTATAAATTATGACCATTATTTTCAGAGAAGTGATTAAAAGTGAAGAGTTCTTATATTTATCTTGTGAAAAAGTGATTCAGCTTATCTCCTGTGATGACCTTGCTGTTCCATCTGAAGAAAAAGTAAGCTAACTAAAGTTTATAATTGTTGAATGAAAGACCAACTTATCTTACATGTAAAATGTAAATTTAATACATTTAAATATACTTGACATTGTCCGAGCCAAAGATTTGTATTTTTAGTAAATATATTTGAAAGAAATGTATATGTCATATTTCTACTAATAATTATAATAATAATATAATATGTACCCAATTGCAATCATTTTAATATTCCTTGTTTTAGCTAAATTTAGGAGTTGAAAAAATAAATATTAATTAACACCCTCCAAGTTTTAAATAATTTAATGATATAACTTTTATTGAAAATGGTTCAGTCATATTTCGAGGCTCTTAACTTCGGGTGAACCAATATCCACACTTTAGTTGTACAGTCTGAATGCCTGTAAAAAAATGAAAAATACAAAATATCTTGGTTTTCGTGTACCTCAGTTCACAGTCAAATTTTGCGTCAGGGTATATTGCTTCGAGAACTAATTCGATCAGGATGAATAATTCGCTTGTGGCGGATTGGATGCAGCACTTGGTATAAATCGAAAGTGGTTCAAACCACTCTATAAACTTTCCTGATATATCCAAGAACAATTTTAAATGTTCACAAAATTGGTTAAGTAGTTTTTGAATACCTATATTTAAGCACAAATATACTTTCAACTCTCATATTTTTTTTAAGATATAATTTCTTTAATCAAAATCATAAACGTGACAATTTTAAGAATACTCTTACCTTATCTGCCTGAATTGCAACCATTTATAAACAAAAATTTCCATCATAAATCTCAAAATTCTTGTTTTAGCGCCTACTCGGTCCAATGGTGAATCCAAAACATTCAGGGACCCACTCAAAAACACAAAAAATAACTTCAAAATTAATTTAATTGTTTTGGAAGTGTTCAAACATGTACTGACGTACAGAATAATTGTATGTATAACATACAGTGACAGCTTAAAGGGAGTATAAAGTAGTTTTAGAAAACTAAGCTTTATAGAAAATCAAATATCAAATAATATTAAGTATCAAATATCTATCAATTGAAAATTATATAGCCACAAAGGTGTATGTAGTCAGAACCGCTTTTATAAAAAATTATATTCTATGGTCTCGCTTAAAACGAATTGCTCCAGGCTTCGATCCACGTTGAGGCTGGCTCTGTATAGTATCTAATGTTAATTGTTCATGCAATTAATCACAATAAACAATGGTCTGTACTCTGTAGCCACAAGCATGCAGACACATTACAGGTAGGATAGTTACACATAACTCATTAACACACAAGCACACACGAGATACATGAATATATTATATTCTTATTTACCTCTAAGTTATAAAAAATGATTTGTCCTGAGCTGTCACTGTTTGTCTATAACTATTGAATGACAAATAAGTTAAATATAATTAAATTACCTACAGACTACAACTATTATTATCAGTAAATTATATTAATGTTACCACTGCTATAGAAATAATATCATTTTATCAAAATATTGAAACTATAAAATTTTAATATAGATTTACTACCATAAAAATATTATAATTATGTTTTAGCTTGTTATTAAAAGAGGGAACCCAATATTGTATTATTAGACCCTGTAATTATAATAATGGGTGGAATAACAAATAAATAGGCTGGGCAAAAAAGATAGAAATGCCTTGTTTATTTTTTGTATTTTAATTCAATTGTATTTATTTCTTTTGTAGGTATTTGAATGTGTTATTAATTGGGTGAAATATGATCTGAATGAAAGAAAAGATTTTTTGCCAGAATTAATGGAACATGTACGTTTGCCATTAATAGCATCATCGCCAGATATATTAAAAAATATAGTTGAAGAACCTCTTCTTAGAAATAATCCAAAATGTAAATGTTATTTTCATAAATATGCCTTCATTATGAGTGTATGTGCTTTATTTATTATGATTTATTCAGGTAACAAATTTATATTAGAAGCTTTACATTTTCATTTACTAAAGTCAGTTCAGCATTTCATCATTTCTCATTCAATTCGCTATAAACCTAGACAGTTTAGTGGCTTAAAAAAAGTATGATCCCATTTTAATTAATTTATCATCACAATTATTTTATCCATTTTATTCCATCAGGTCATTCTAATTTTCACATGGTCTGAGACTTTACCAAAGTGTTATACAGATTGGTATGACCCAGCAACCAACATCCGAAGGAGTGCTCCAGAAATAGATGATTGTCGTAGGAAAGCTGGTGTAGGTGTCATAAGAGGTCAATTTGTTTTTGTTTTGGGTGGCTTGAATAACACAAGTTCTCGATCTGTTAGTTTGCTTGATGTATCTTCACCCTTTCCATGTTGGATACCAATGGTCAACATGTTGGTTAGTCGAGCATATTTAGGAGTTGGTATATTAGACAATTGTATTTATGCAGTAAGTTATACCAATATTTTACTTATTTTATATTACAAATATAAAATATATATAATATATTACATTTTAGGTTGGTGGATTTGATGGTTTTGTTCCAGTAAAGAGTGCAGAGGTTTTTGATCCCAGTATTCAAAAATGGAGAATGGTAACTAGTATGACTATTAATAGAAGTCTTTTGGGTATTGGTGTACTCAATAATCATTTATATGCGGTGAATAAATATTTTATTTTTGTATTTTAAATTTGTACTAAATACATATTAATCTAATTGTGTAGATAGGAGGTTTTGATGGTTATGATAGTTTGAAGTCTGTGGAAAGGTATGATCCCTCACTTGACACATGGACACTAGTTGCAGAACTATCTGTATGTCGCAATAGTGTTAGTATCGCGGTCATGGATGGAGTTCTATATGCTATCGGTGGTATTGATGGATCGGAGAATCTTAAAAGTGTTGAGGTATATAGACCAAGTGATGGAGTATGGTCTTTTATTGCTGATATGCATTTATGTCGAAAGAATTCTGGTGACTAAAACAATAATTTTTTTGAAAATAACATCTGGAAAAAATATTGAAATTAAATAACATTTTTATGTAGGAGTAGTCACATTAGATGGCTTATTATATGTTATGGGAGGAGAATCTGAAAAATCATTTTTTAATACTATGGAAGTGTACAATCCCAAAACCAATACCTGGTCCATAGAAACATTGCCAAGAAACCATCATAATTTCACTGACGACCAAATTTTTTGTGGTGTAGTCGTTAATAGGCCACCACATTTAACTAATTGACATTAATATTATGTTCTCAAAAAAATACACATGTATTTATGTATAATATATATTAAAACATTTATTTATTCTGTCAATTTTTGCTTTTGTGAATATTCAATAAAAAGTTTTTGCTTAATTTACGTCAAGTATTGTTTTCAAATTAAATAAATACAGCATGTAGGTATTATTCATAGCAGTAAACAATAATTTGGTTCACAGAAATGCTTCACTTTAAGCTATATATTATTAAGTAAGAAACTGAAAAAAAACTTCTAAGTACCATAACTAACTGCACTTATAATAGTATCATACAAACATATTCAATAATAATGAACATACCTTTTGCACTATTGCGGCAAAAAATAGTAAAAATATTTTAACTAGGTATGACTTATAAAGTATTATTTTCTTATCTTGAACAATAGCTAGTATTGTAGTAAATACACACATTTCAAAAAATTATTAATAATATAAAGCTATATTTTATTTTACATTTTTACATGTATATTTACATACCCACTCGTAATTGTAAATACGTATTTTAGATTCTGAGCGGAGGGATGAGTGTATTGATTTTACAATGATGTATGTTTTTATATTTACTAATTTTTAATTTTTTTTCTTGTGTGTCTGCCATTGAGGTTTCTTGCAGTAAAAGTGCTTCGATTTTCTTCAACAGCAACTTGTCTGGTAGGAAAGTGAATCTAGATGGTGCATTCAGAAGGTGGTCAACATTTAAAATTCCCAATAGTTTTCAACAGTGGCGCAACTAGCCCCCCCCCCCCCCCCCAAAAAAAAAACCTTTATTAATTTTAAATATTACACGTTGTTTTCTTTTTTCATACTCTCATATTAGAGGTAAACAAATTTAGTTATAATAATAATTAATATTACATTTTTAAGAAACTAGTAAGATACTAATTACTAGTGGTTGTTATAAAATGTTGAGTAGAGTATATCATTTTTATGATAGGCTTAGGTACATTACTCACGATAGTGTCACATACATAAAAAAAACCAAATTGTTGTACAGCTAATTTCTCTTGGTTCAGAATCTAAAATTTGTTTTGATTGTATGTAGGGACTAGGGGGGGGGGTGGCACCCCATGGGATATTTTAAGTTCAAAGTTTTGTTAGGAGGGCTGTAGATCCCCCAAAATTTTAACCTTAGTTGCGCCTATAGTTTTAAAAGCAATAGGAAAAACGGGAATTTTTAAGCAAAACCATTTTTTGGAAAAATCGATTTTGGTTTTTAGTGTAACTCTAACAAAAATGAACTTAGATACATGCAATTTTCACTGAATATTTTTGTAAGCATTTTCTATACACCATACAATTTTCAAAATATTTTGAATTGTGTTGAACATTTATATGAAATTTTTGATTTTTATTTGTTTTTTTTAAACTAAAAGTCGATAAAAATTTTTCGCTGTGTCAAAAAACTTGAATATGTAATACAAGGTTCCTTGTAAGTTGTTGTTAAATGTTAATGGAAATTAAAAAAAAGTTGAGCGTAAATCCACAGTAAATTTTTATGAGCGTTCGAAGTTGAAATTTTTACAACATTTTATATTCACTCGATTTCTTATGCAGCGATTTTCTTATTATGTTGTAATTCAAAAACGAATTACTGTAGACCAGTAGTTCTCAATCTTTTTAATACCTTGACCTAAATTTCCCCCGAAAAATCTTTCGCGACCCACATTGTTTCACTTTGCTCAACAATTTGTGAAAAACAAAATTTGTATTATATAAATATGTATATGTTACCGGCAATATGAAGAATCGGGTATTTTACAAAATACCTAGGAATTATATAAAATGCCAAAAATCACTCGGAAATATACATAATATAAGCTTTTCCTAGGTATTATGTATAATGCCCAAGGTGGAGTATGAAATATGATAAAAATAAACAAAATTGGGTATCGCCTATTACCAGCGACTTTACTTATAAGTTATAGTTTATCGTGAATGCACGCACCGTGTCCGCGTGTGCACGATTTGGTGCAATGAAGATTACAATTCTGAAGTTCTGAAGCAGTGATACGCCAGGAGTCAGTTCACTAAATGTCAAAAAAAGCTACTACAAATTTACAATGTTCCAGCAGGCACAAAAGTGGCGTTAAGAACAGTCGCAAAGGAACAGTCGACAAGAACTAGTCAATGATTTTTAAAATGTGTTTGTAAGATCAAGTATCATAATAAAAAATGCATTTACCTTAAAAATAATGTTTTTTGCATTTCAAAATACCATTTTTCTACAACATGTAGTAATAAGTAGATAGTAGTAAGTAAAATGTATAAATAATAGTACTTAATATAATAATAATGTTAATAATATAGCAATACCTATGTATAAAAATATAATAGTAGATAAAAATTAGATTTTGTAATATGAGTAATAATATATTATAATTACAAGAATCTTAATATATAATATTATAACATATTATGATAAATTGTTTTTTTACTTTGCCTAAAAAAATTGGTATTTTACATAACGCCTAGGTATTTCATAAAATACCTAACATATACATTTTTATTAGGTTTTTAGTTTTTTTTATAGGTTTATAATTAATATGTATTAAAATATAATTAATATAATTTAAATGTACTTTTTATAATGAGGTACCTAACATACATTTCTTGGAATCTATATAATTCAAAAAAATGTTTTCGACCCACCAAAAATTGACCGACGATCCACACTTTGAGAAACGCTGCTGTAGACACTTGAAATTTATACCATATGTTTATTTTATCAATTCATACGCTTAATAACATTTTCAAAATATATTGTGTAGTTTTGAGCTGTTTACGGACATTTTAATTTTGTTTTTTTTTATAAATGTCTATAAAACTGAAGTATAACTGATTATACATGTTACAGTAGCAGTTAAAATATATTTAAAATACATGGGCATGATTTTTATTTATAAGTATTTAAAGTTCAAATTTAAAATTTAAAAATGATTTTGCAGTTAAAACTTAAAAATGTATTAAATGTTCAACTTGTATAGTTAAGGGTTGATACCGTCTACGCTCAGAATCGTTTTTCGTGTACAATAATTAGATTATATCATTGAATTAAAATTTAATACCATCCATTACAACAGCCTCCTAGACACCTAATGTGCAGCACATCCACTTATCCGCTTTTTATTTGTTAATTGCTGTGTGCCATATTATTATAATTTACTTATGAAAAAAAAATTTCAATTTTGTCTACGTAAAGTACTGAACGTTTGTACTCACGCTACTATATGGATTATTAATCTGTTATTCACTTATTCAAATCGCATGAAAGGAAACTCATGTTTCTACTAATAGACTATCAAATTTGTTTGCTAATACAGATTGTATAGTTGGTTCTTAATACTCTTAATATACGATTTAAATCATACTAACAACTAACATTTTAAAATATAATCAATCAATTAATCTATAACAATTAGTATTTATTTATTTGCTATTTTTATTTTTAATTTAGAAATTATACAACTAAAAAAAACTAATAAAATAAGCGTAAGTAAGTAAGGTTTTTTGATTATAATGTGGCGGCGTAAGTCGTTTAAGGGAAAAACCAAAGAGTGGAAGCACTTCGGCTTGAATTAGTAAATTTAATTCAGTAATTTATATTATAAATATTTAAATAAATAGTAGTTAAGTTAGTAATTTTTAACACGGGAGTTGGTCTGGTTTTAAAAGTGATTTCTGAATTTAGATTTGTATAGCTTGGCTGTTGCAGTGACTTAAAAAAAAAACGATGTGTGTAGGGTGGTTTGAAATATAAGGTAAAGCTTTAGTTATGCATATTTTTTAGTAATTATTTAAATAATAATATAATATTACCTTAGCAAACCTGCACATTCTCAATAGACATTAATATTATAATTTACAACTAGCACAGAGCAACAGAAGCAATGGACGGCGACGACAAGATTGCATAATATTGTCTTAATATTTTTAATATTTAAATTGCCACTTAATACATATTATTACGCAGCTAGGTAGTCTTAAGTTATTAAATGGACATGTTGTTGTATTGTGAACACGGGACATCGCCATTCGACATTGATTTTATAGAAAAGTATTTGGTCAGTACTTAGTTCACTATTTGTTTTCCCTCCCTAACCCTAATCTTGTATCATATTGACAAAACAAACTCCCTCTAAATCTTTTTTTTTTAATAATCTGAGAGTAAAATCGCTTTTTCGTACAATAGAAAATATTAGAGGATAATATTTTCGATTTTCTGAGGCCCCGAGGTTTTGAAAAATCATTTTATTCGAATATAAAGTCGACGAAAGTACGTTGTAATGATTCAGAATGTTATAATTTTTGCTATTATTGTCATTGTTATTAATACGAATTACGAGTATATTATGGCTTGATAGTTTTTGTGCTTTTAGACCAATAAGCGGAAGATAATACAGTATATACTAACAGAAGTCCGATTTTAATTTTCAAAAAATATATTTGAACTTGTTTGGTTCGGTTCTTGGCTGCGTAAAAACGCATTTTATTTTTTTATATAGTATCACTACATTAAAAGTGCAATTTGAAAAAAAGAAAATTAACAATCCATTTCTTACGAAACTGAGATCTCTTTCTTAAGATAATGAGGAATTCAAATATGTTTTCAAAATTAAAATTGGGCTCTTATAGCCCCAGGAGTTAAAACTTTTTTTGGTCGAAAAAAATATAGTTACGTGTGAATGTGTGACTGCTCGTGTCTGTAGTGTGGATTTTCAAGAACTTGTTTAAATGCAATCCAATCTGTTTTAATATTCGGGCCAATAAACATAACCTAATCAATGGAAATCATATTATTAAAAATAAATAAAAAAAATTATTCGATTTTCGAGAATCGAAACGAAATGTATACGTCAAGCGTTCTATAGCAACCCATAAGGGTAAAATAGAAACTGAAAACATAAATCCACCCTCCGACTTCCGAGTACCTACAAGAATCACTAAACATTTAATGAACGAATAGTGAGCTAATTACGCAATTTGTAAATACTAGTACTAGTGTAGTGATACTACTATAGTAGCTTACAGTTCACTATAATTGACCCTCCACAATTTATCGGACCATTAAATGTTAGTGAATCATTAAATTAATTAAATTAATCAATTTTGTTTGCAACCAGCCTTGATGCCACCAATAGTATATTGCATATTATTATGTTTCCTAGAAACGCCGTAATATCCTATTGATAAAAAACATGTTATAACTACTACGGATAATTTATTAGATAATATGAAATTGTATGAATTAATAATTTTATCTACAGAACGAGTGTAACAAAAGACAAAACGGCAATGATTAATAATAACCAATCACGATTTCAGATTCTTAGGAATCCTGGAAAAACTGCTAACTTTGAAAATTACTCTGATACTCCATTAGTAAGTAAAAATTATATTAATTATTGCATAGTTTATGAAAGTCTAATTCGATTTCATAAAATTTATCATTACGGGATCATTTTTTCACTCATTACTCATTTCAATCAATTTATGAGTTTTTGAAAAAAAAATTGTTTTTTTAATTTGATAAAATATTAGACTATATTATATATGAACAAAAAAATGTGGGAAAGTGGGTAACTCTCTGCTGTACAATAGGTGGCAAGTGGGTTACTGTAATGGATGTTAACTTTTAACTTTTTAACTAGTTACTGCACAGCTTTATATAAATACTATCTGACAAAAAATATAATATTTCACAATCCTCATATCTTTCCCTTTCTCATATCATTCTTCCATACAGGCTATAATATACAGTATTATTGATTTTGTGTATCATTTATATTTTACACATTTTTCTTAAAAAATGTTTATTTAGATAATTTTATAACCTGTACATATGTATATATGATACGATAAGCATAATGGAATTCATTTTAATCTTGTAAATTAAATATTAAAAATTCCCTGCTTTCCTTAATTGTTTTGATGTTTTTCCCAACGCTTTTGGAAACTAATTGGAATTTTCTATTTTTGAGGTCTTAAGTACCAACTAGATTAATTTTTTTATTAGAAAAGATGCTGAAGTTAAAAGCCCTGATATTTTAGTGCTCTTAAATATAATGAAAGACAGAAAAAAAACAGACAATCATAAAAATTAAACCAAAAATTAGTATTATACTATTATTTAATACTCATTACTATAAACCATAATTGTTTTTATAAAACAACGAAACTTAAGAAATTAGTTTTTTCATTTATAATCATTTAAAGTTTTGATAACCAGAGTAAATTATTGTCATTGCTGATTAAATTACGTGTAAAAAAAAAAATTTTTACAACAAAAAGTTATTAGTGTTTACATTTTTTCTTTACAAATTTTGTTTAAAAATATATTATTAAATTAGTATATACAATATAAATTGTATGTAAAATACGTGTTTTTTCGTCTTTCCACAGCTATATTCAACACTCGACTACTGCTACGGAGCTTCTATAAGATTTATTGATACTATAACAAATTATTAATTTAATAGGTTTTAAATCAGCCTCATCAGTTAAATAAGTATAAATATTTGTTCATGTTATTTTAAATAGCGACCTGTCTGGTCTTTTGGATGGAACTATAAAATCGGATTGAAAAGTATCCCTATTGAAGAAATAAATGAAAATATACTACAAATGTTTTTTGTTAGTGACCAATTTGGTATTATATTGGAGTACGATACCATAAATAAAGAAAACACGATGACCATGTTGACCGGCCATGTAAATATATTATACTTACACCGATGATTTTCATTCTTCCCTAATACTTTAACTTATGAATAACTTAAGAAGTTAACATTTTGCATTGCAAACTAACATATTATTGTATGATATTATGATTTATAATATACAATGCTTATATTCGTGTTTTATTCATTATAGCTGTCGGAGCCGGCAATTTATAAAGGGGTAAAAATTATCTACACTTCTAGTTATCTACGTGGCTATAATACTATACGTAGTGCAGCGTATAATTGTCGTATCTAAATTATATCAAACCATTTTAAAAATAAAAAATTACTTTATCCAAGAAAAACTATCACGAATAGTCAGATTTTTGTAGTTAATTTTTAAAGAGAAATATTTCATTCAGCTCACATTGTACTCTAGTTGACTTGAATTAACTTTACACCTTAAATAACTCAAAAACATTTTAAAATATTAAAATAAAATTATGATATAATATGGGTGCTTATTACAATTTTTGAAAATACAGATTTTAAAACCAGATTCTTACACGAATAAAGTCTTTATCTTTTGAATAAAAAATATTTTCAAAATCAGACAATTATATGAAGCTCGAGAGTATTTTCTGGAAGGCAATTTTTTAAGCTAATATTACGTTAGCTCTCCGACATCCTCAAATACTAATTTTATTCTCTCCACTTCGCTAAACATATTTGTGATATGGTCAAAGATAAACAAATTTTTGAAGTACCTGAGTACTGATTGTGTATTATAAGTTGTAATGTTCTAATTTGTAATAAATTGAATAGAATATTAACACCTAGATATATAGAATACAAGTTTTATGTTTAGTATTTATTATCATTTATTTGTGTTTGTTGGACTTCAGCGCAACTATATTAGTAGTTTTGATGTCAACCTGGAGGGTTGTTGGTTGGTCACAGTTGACAAAGGCAATAACGATACAATGCTAATAGTTTGGAATGCTTCTCTCAGGTAAAATGATCGAAATTGTCACGAAATTATTGTAAATATTTATATAGAAGTTTAATATTATATAGTATCTAATTGTTACTATATAGTAATATATAGTATTAATAGTATTATATAAAATGTAATACAATTGTCTGAATTAGCGACACAGCCCGCACAACCCTAACCGATAGATAAGTACAGCATGTCAGCATGCTCTGTTACTTTATACTTACCATCTACCGTTATTAATATAATAATATAATAATATGTGACATTGAGATTTGTAGCTTAGGTACCTACTCACCTGCACCTGTATCAAAGTAAGAATAGTAATACGGTATTTATTATTATTATTTATTTATTTTGAGGACTCCAGTCTTTTCGGTATTATCACCATTCGAAACGGGAATTTCAATTGTAAAGTTCAGCGTCGATTCACAATATGTGATTACAGTGTCGGTTGCAGATGACAACGGTGAACAAACGATAGACTTATGGGATTGGAAATCGGGCAAAGAAGAATCGGCTTGTACGTAGCAAGTAGCAGCAATGTGTATTCGAGTGTTACAGTGTACACGTTATTTAAAATTTAAATAAATATTATAATAATTAATAATAATATTATGATGTTCATTAAAACACATTAATTGGTAAATAGGTTCAACAAAACTCGACAACAGTATTGATACGATCGTGCATATAGCATATAACTACGATAATAGAGACTTCTACTGTCTGACAACCGAAACGCTTGTATTTTTTATGACTCTGGAAAGAATGGATAAAAATATTAAAAGAAAAAAAAAAAATTCACTGATAAATGTAGACAACGTGAATAAAATAATAATCCATGTTCCGACCCAAGATACAACATCACAGAAAAAATATATTAATACACAGTCAACGTATTTAACAAACACCCGACAAGTTGTATCAGCGTCTACTGGAGGTATACATAACAGTGATAAATGTCTAAAAACAAATTGTTTTGATTTGTGTGGTTAGGTATCTCGAGTTAATTATAATATGTTAGTACATAATATTTTATATTCGATCACTATTAGGTTGGGTAACTGTATGGGATGATAACAATTATGATGTGTTGATAATTAAAGATGAACCGATCACGAACAATAAGCAATATTTAAAACACGTCAAATTGGACGAGCATTCTATTACTACTATAATTTGTATCCAAACGTATTTATCTCGATTATGATGTCTTTATCATTTTTTAACTTACTTTTTTCCAGACATATAATAACGGGCAATATTAACGGTGATATTTTCTTTTACGATCAATCATTGCTTGTACTGTACCACTTGAACATGTTTGTTGGCGATGCCATTACTTCCATTTCAATGCTTGACAATAAAATTCATGTAGAAAATGGTTGGTATTAAGAATTATATTGGCGTTATAGCATATTATTGTACTATTGTACTCTGTTATCCAAATATTGTATTTTAATATTTTAAACTATAGGGGGAGGAGACTCGAGTACGTATGAAAAATTAGAAAAAACAACGCAAAATCACATTCTGCTCGTTGACGACTCTGTGTCTGAGTGCGACAACAGTCCCGAAGTCGGTTCCGATTTCACCACCAACCACGATTTTGTATCCAGTCCATTTCTTATAAGTACATACTACATGATATAATATACTAAATAAATATATATTTAACTACGCACTGCGTTAATCGATAGGAGGAAATGATTTCTCATTGTGTATGTATCTACTTTAGGCACGAGAAGCTGCAGAATTTTTCAAATTGATATTTGCAACAAAACTTCTTATTATATATTTGAACAGTGTGAAGTAGAATTTATTACCGCATTGGCAGTAAACCCCAACCGGTAAGCGGTCGCATTTTTGATGAGTATCTACATAATATATTATATATATTACCGGAAAAGATGACATTCTGTCAGTATTGACAATGACTAGTCAATAACGATAATGATTGATTTAGTAAGAAATTAACGTCAGTAACTAGTCATTGATGAAAATTCCTAATAACAGAAGGCATTGATGATAATAACATTAAAAATTAAGTTGAAAATCGAATAATATATTTTAATACTTATTAGCTATTTAGGATAAATCATAATCTTAATCTTTATAGTAATAATAAACAGATTACTAAACACGATTTTATTACACGTTACTATTCACTATTTCAATGCACAAACAATACTGTGCAGTTATACTTGCGGGATGTGTCCATAACGACAGCTCCTTATAATACGATATTTTTTCATTTGTCTATATTATTAAAAGTTATAAGTAGGGCAGAGGACTTTCAGGTCTAAAAAATCACCAAATATGCACTGAAATGTACAAAATATGCATTAAAAATATGCATTTAAAAATAATTATGCATATCATAATGCATTAAAAAATAAGATTATTTTGAATTTTACTTAAATTTTGATGTCTGCGACCGACGTTCTCGTGGCCCGTATTGATAATATCCTATGTAGTAAACAATACCTGTACATTAATAAAATTAATAACCGGAAAATAAATATAATCGGTAATCCTCAAGTAGTGTCTCTTGGAGAAACATGAGGTACGGGAACAGTTAAAAACCATATTAATATGATCAAAATTTTAAATAATTTTAAATTCAACATTATTTTGGTTGTATATTAAATATTTAAATTAAATAAAAAAAAGAAATATGCACCTAAACCAAAAAAAAACTCGAAATATAAACTATAAATAAAATTTCAAAACTAGCTTTGTTTCAGCATGAAACGTATTTGTTTCTTACTCTGCTATTTTTATGTTCGTGCAAAAAAAATATGCAAATGCTACAAGTCCTTTGTCCTAGTTATAAGCAATAAAAATGATAACATAAAACCGGGTATACCATGTATATTAATTGTATATATATATGCTATATGTTCCATAATCAGATTGAACACCGATAAAGCGGTGTTGATATTTGTTTCGATGCGGATTTATAACATTGCCTTGTATAATACGGAAATGTTGATAAAACTACGAATATCCAATATTGCCTAACCTTTCTAGTCATTGTCAACAATGACTATAGAGTATAGGATATATACTGACAATTCCTGAATTTTTATTTTATCCGGTAACATATACAATATACATATGTATTTTATTATTTTAACGGTATATTTAGCAATACTGTAATATAAATATTATTATTCTCATAATAATTATATAATAGGAGCGATATAATAATGGGCAATTCAATCGGCGGGCTTGTTTTGTACAACCATCGAAAGAAAAAAACTAACATTAGGATGGCTGGAGATTGGAAAAGTAAAGAAGACCATCGGGTCACCTGCATCAAATATTCCCCAAATGGCATGTATTATTGAATTTTTCAATGTGATAAACTAAAAATCGACTATAGTATCATTGAATAATTTTTTACTTGAGTAAGGTTCTCATTTTTTAGGAAATTATCTTTGTTGCGGTCGCTCGGATGGATTGTTTCAGTTTTTAGATCCTTATAGCATAACACTAATGGGCAACTTATCTTTCAAGTGGAACGAATCACCAGTGCAATACATAACGTTTAGCGAGTCTTCGATGTATATGGCATACACTGTAAGTTTTACTGATGCGAAATTTTATCTATATAATAGTTTAATACATTATACACCGTGCAATGTCTTACTATAAAAAATATAAATATAATATAAGTTATAATTTGGCAAAAAGTATCTTCCACAACTATTCAAAATATCTATTTTAATAAACTTTTATAATAAATATTGTTGGTCGTTACGATACTATCATAAAGTTATTAACAAGTGTAAACGTGAATGTCTGATAAATATCTTATCTGCAAACAATAATCAAATAGGTACTTGTTCAAATGTGTGGGTCTTTTATAGTTGAATGTTTTTTAATATTTTTAAAATCCATACATACATAGTTTATAGGGAAATAGGGCATTTATATTGTAGTAGATATTTATGTACACAAATAGTATAAATCTTATGAGCAGGGTGATTTAGCAAGTATGGTTGCCTTAATTTTTCCGTAAATTATGAATTTATTCAAATTTTGATTTTCAGAATTTTTAAACATACTCAAGGCCATATTTTTTAATTTAATTTGTTTGTATTACTTAAGGAGTGGTATGCACTTCTGTTTGTGAAACGAGAGCTCCCCATTTTTACTGTTAATTGTTTAATGGCTCATTCTTTTGTAAATAAAAAAGATTCAAAATTCGAACGAGTAGTTTCTCGGTTATTAAAATGTTTATACTTATAATAAGGATAATAGTTCTTAAAAATGGATTTACGAAAAAATAAAGTAGATTTAGTATTGGATATAGTATTTATTATAGGTATAATTGTTCCATATTTACTAATTATTAATGTTGACATATTAATTTATAAATAGCTCAAATATTCAAATTACCATAGCCCCCATGTACAGGGTTACATCATACACAACTACCATCTGCTACACTGCATTGCTATAAAATTGCCATACATCACATTGTTCTGATTTCCACATATATTATGCTGCAGGACGATTTGTTTGGTATATACTTGTACGGCATGATACAGTTGCAGAATTCGAACGAATACAGTGTTAATTACTATGGGTGTTATGAAGTACACAATAAATCCATTCGGAGTATTGTAATGTCCGAGTACAGTTCCAGTCTAATGATTTACAGCCTCGGGGCGGATCACAAAATAATCGTATTGGAATTAGATAAAACGTAATAATGGCGCATATACTTTTACAGAAATATAATCAATCCTTTCAATAATTGTGCTTCTTAATGACAGCCTTATTGTAGTATAAATTACATAATATTGTATTACCTACATTATACATTGATATTTATATAAATTATCGGCAGTGATCGTTTTGAATTTATTACAGAAATGATAAAGAGCCCCCAAAAATTATAAAAACCTTGAAAACAGGATCATATAATGAACCTCAGTGCATGATGAAATCGACCATCAATTGGCAGGAATTCAATTTTTTAATTAGCGGCAATGATGTAACCTACACAGCTCTTTACCTATTGGCTGTTTGTGACATATTATTATTTTGTAATTTTTGTTCATAAATATTATTTTATTTTAGTTACGTTTATCTTTGTGGAACAACAATCGGTGTATCCGAACTACTCTAGGAGTCAATCTCGAAAGTCCGATTCGAGTAATGAAAGTAAATAATATTATACTTAATAAGCAAAAATATCAAAACTAACATACAATAAGATAACCATATAGGTTAGGTAAAAGCTATAGAACACAAAATAAAAGTTTTAAGTTGTGGTTTTTTAAATATTTATTTTATTTCAGGACTTTTTTTTTAGATATTTTGGAGTCAATAATCAATCATCCACTTATCGAGTCATTCAAGTCGTTCCTAGAATTGTTAATAAATTATTTATATTTATATCCTATAAAGGTTAATTATAGATCTTCCATTCATTTTATCGTCACTTTAATGTAATCGAATACTTTATATATGGTACCTTCATAAAAGTATATACTCGTAAAGTAAATATAAGCATACATTTTGAAAAGCACAAATTCAATTTAACACTTGTTTGTCGATCGTTTTTGATCATACATTTTTAAGGTAATATTAAAGTGCATAGTATTATAATTATTTTTTCAATATAAAGCTGCTATAAAATCTTATCTTATACCAGCATACCATGTATGATTCTTCAGAAATCTTATTTCATTCAAACAATACAATTATTAGTAATGCGTAAAAATAAAACCTACCAGTTAAAAATATTTACAATATTATAAATTTTATTTTTATTTTTCCATTTTTTAAAAATATTTTCTTACAATTCCATTTCAAGTGTAAATATTGTGAATGAGCCCAATTAAATAAGTATTAATTTAATAAAAGGAAAGAGCTCTGGAATATGCATATAAATATAATACATAATGTTAGTATCTATCGATCCTAATCGAGCCTTTCAAAAGTCGTTTTGATCGAGTAAATGTTAATTATATATTCTACCACCAAAAACTATCCGATATGGCTATCGGTAACTTCTGACACCGATGTTAAAAAAAATAATAATATATTTCCAGGAGTCTCCCAAGTTCTGCAATAATATATTTTTTTGCAATGACACAGATATTGGGATCTTACGACAGCCCATCGATGGAAATCCGTACAAAAACGCGGCAGTGTTCGGTTCCGGAACAAAAGTCAGTTGACTCATATTATTATAATCGTATATTAGTTTACTCATAAATTATAATGTATTCGTTTAGAGATGAATCGTCTAAGATGATAAAAAAATAGTACCCAAGATAGATTCCGCTAGTGGAGCGAGTGAACTATAATAATACATAGGTACACTGACCTATATAATATTATCAGTCAATTTAATACAAACTAATTAGATATTATAAATTATAATATTATAATTTTTTGGATAAGTCACTATATATGTATAAAAATTATATGTGATTAAAATTATCCTGTACAAATTTAAAATAATTATGAACCATTCTCTTAGGTAGGTATATTTATTTTTGCTTTTTAGATTATCGATATTGGTGTTTCAATGGATGGCATGGACGTCTTTAGTATAAGCGAAAATAGCCATTCGATGATAATCTGGTCTGTGAATATGAAGTAATACAACACATCTTTTACAAATTATAATTTATACAGATAAAATGTTCATAGTTAATTGTATTTAAGGGCGAAAAATCACATTAAGACTATATACCTATACCGTATACACTATGTATAGGCACCTATGGACAAATGTATATCAAATATACTCGTTGGGTTTTAGTCCCCCCCACACCCTTCTTCAGCTTATTTTTTCAAATCTTGCTGGACTTTGATATTATTTTTCATTGACACACTACGATTATTAATAATTTATTTACTTACTCCCTTCCAATTAAGAGATATAGGAGTTCTCTCAATCCATACAACCATCCAGAAACACAATAAAATAACCATCATATATTTTAAACAATTAAAGCAAAAACATAAGTACATTTTGAATATTAGATTTTAATGATAAAAGTTGAAAAACATTCTTATCAATTTTAAAAATGTCATACATTCTGTGTCACAATGTTTTAAATAATTATTAATATTTATTATGCCAATACATAATGATTTTATTTGTAATTAACTGTCACCATATGGGGGAGGGGGCTAAGCCACCCCCACAAATCACGCAATCAAATAGATTCTATTGGCAATTTGGTGAAGGCACTTTGAAAATATTATTTTAGTAGTTTTCCTAACAATTTTCGAAAAAAAATAGAAACAATTTCGATAAAGCATCATGAACGTAACCAAGACAAAAACTAACATATTTGAGTTCATTTGAATTGTTTTTCAAATTTTTAATTATGCGATAATTTATATCTGTTGCTTAAAATGCATAATCACTTGTATTGTACAAGTATAATATGAAGCTTATACTTACAATCTACATGCAATAAGTTATATTTAATGATTGACCCCTTCGTATATTTTTGTTTGAGTTCTAAAATATATATTTAATTTTTTGTCAAGCTATTTAGATAAATTGGAGAAATATGGCGGTGATGGATTAAAAGCATATAGTTCCCTTCTAGAAGGTGGAAAAAATGGACAGGAAATTACAGAATTAAAAGAATATTTTTCTTGTGTTCAATTAGCAAATAGCCGAAATCCAGAGACCACAGTTATCAGAGAATATGTGGACGTTTTTAATGTATCATTTCTCATGAGAGCAATGGGATATTTTCCCTCTGAAATAGAAGTAAATCGGATAATGGTCACAGCCCTTATTTTTGGTTATAAACTTACATAAAGTTCATACGCGTATATGCTTACTCCACGTATAACAAAAAATATTGATTGACATTCTAAATTTTTTTTTTGATGCCATAGATCGGTAACTACTAAAATGTTTATTATATAATACTGTATTCTATAATATACATTTAATATTATTTTGAAATTTAAGTGCGCGTATTATAGGCATACAATGCATACATATATAAATACAATATATATATATATAATATTCTGCGAATTTGCATGTATACAATATTGTATCTTATATTCTTCTACCTATACTGTTTAAAGTGTTAAAAAATAAGGGCTGTAGTATCATATTGTTTCTAATTTCTCATCGATTTTTATAATATAATATAGGTAGAATAGTTTTAATTATATAAACGTTTGATACGAATGTGTTGGTCATACCTTAATATTCCAGTTGTCTACTATGCTATACGAAATGTTCAGTAGACCAGGCCATCCTACCACAATGTCATTCGAAGAGTTTGTTATTTTGTATCTGAATTATAAGCCACGATTACAAATTAAATGTCAAGAAGTCCGTCTAGCGTTCAACAAACTAATAGAAAATGACCAATTTGTAAATGCTTACGGAGAAAACAAGATTTTGACCAGGGAATCGTTTGTACACATGATGAAAAATATAGGTTTTAGAACGGTCATTAGTTAAATGTTTTGCTTTTTTAAACACTTTTTTGTCTTAATTTAGGTGAAAAAATTAATCCTCGTGAATTAGAAATTATTTTGAACACATTGCTAAAAACCACCAAAGATATATCGTCAAGTTCAAGTGAAAACTCTCATTTGGTTCACTTGTCATTACCATTCGTAAGTTCATTTGTAGAACGCAATTTTAAAATATCAACAAATAAGCCCCCTTCACGAAAGCTGTTTTTTTGCTCATAAACTTTGCCTTTCAGGAAAAACTCTCACCAAGAGTGATCCGATTTCTATAACTTTTTTTGGGGGGAAGGAAAAAAACTTCTTCCTGGATTCTTTGGACATTGATTTCAAAATTTTATTTTGAAACCGTATAATTCGATTTTTAACAATATGACCAATTTTTCACAAGTTCTTATTTATTTTTTGTAAGCAACGCAATCAAGAACCGAAGTTCAAGTGAAAATCGTCCAATCTTACACAAAAAAATAAAACAAAATAATGAAATCGGACCACTACTACGAGGTGTTAGTTTTTCCTGTAAGGCCTGTTTTTAGCAAAAAATCATGTTTTTAAAAGGACACCGTACCCGCATGTGTTGACTCTTTTTTATGAACGCATTATTATGCTATATATATCTCATAAATCATATAATGTACCTATGTCCAGCAGTTTCAATTTTGTGTTAGCCTAAATATTAGAGTGAATTGATTTACAATATTTAACTTTAATGTAAGATCTTGTTTTTTTACAGTTTTTTAATTTTTAAGTGAGTTAAGAGCATTTTTGAAAACTAATATTTTACATCATCCTAATACTTAAAAAATTAAAATATTGTAAAAACGCGACGAGAGAATTTAAATAATATCATTTTTATATTTAAGTTATAAAATTGGTCAATTCATTTTAATATTTGAGCTAACTATACAAAATTGAAACTGCTAGACGAAAATTCTGGTATATTATGCACCATTAAGGCTGCGACAACGTTGATGTCCAGTTCTTTTTTTATCGGTGCATGGCTCTGACTTATAATGCGTGCTGCGGAAGTGTTGCGTTTGCGCAATCATGTACAAAAATCTCGATTGTGTTTAATAAAATTACATAGCGTTAAAATACTTGGTTGCATCTATTCCCATTACAAATAAATAAATTTGACAACATCCCAATAATTAAATTTCTACTCACAGTTACATTTCTATTTTTTATTAGTCTTGCTTAATTTTGTTGTATAACACCGTGTTACATTACCAGATATTCTTTCATAAACTATTCTGAATTTAAAACTACTAACCATAAGTTAATCTTTAAAATTGTTACTTACACTTTTTGCAAATTTTATTTTATTTTTTGTCATTTTTGAAACAAAAATACACCATAAAGAAAAAATGTAAAATGTCGTATCGATATTGAGGTAATACAAATTATCGGGCATGTACTAGTTGCCCCCAAAAGTACCTTTTTTATGCCAAATCCCCCCAAACTACTTAGAGGAAAAAGTACCAGTTGCCCTCACATGTTAATATATACACAAATACAATATATAGCTCGTAAAATAAGGGAGGTAAATATACAAATCATAAATAAAATATAAATTTAAAAATTATAATAATTTGTTAATATAAAATAGTATAGAATTCAAAAGTATTATGTTTTGTTATAATAATTACTAACCGATTTTACAAAATCTAATCTGCTAATATTTTTGTTTTTGTATTTATTTTATCGGATACAATAATTGACGGATTGAATTCAAGTTCAAAGCCAGAGCATTTTTCTTTAAACATACTAAATAAAAATTCATACGTTTTCGATGATTATATCCACTCAGACGCATCTAAAATTACATGTTATGTTGACAAACTATTATAATTTTGAATTTTATATTTTATTTATGATTTGTTTATTTACCTCCCCTATTTTACGAGCTATATATTGTATTGTGTATATATTAACATGTGAGGGTAACTGGTGCATTCAATTGAGGGCAAATGGTATATTTTGAAAATCGCGATAATAGCCTTGGAGGGCAACTGGTAAACACCCAAATTATCTACAGCAAAGACTCAAAGTTAGGTACGATTATAAATAAGTACCTATAGGTATGTCGAGCCACGACAGGTACAACAGTTAAATTTCCATTTGATGAACAGTGATTCGAAAATGAAAATAGTTGGCTAAAATTTGATATAATATATTTTTGAACAAATGTATTAATTTATAATGGTCTCAAAGAAGTATTTTAACGTACCTTTTTTAATTCGATTACGCAATCGAGGTTTTTGTATTTTGGTGCAAATACGGTGTTTAGATGCAAACACATTCCACCTCAAGCTGCACGTAGCTAGCTCTAAGTTCGATATCCATGTACAACCACGCTAGCATTAATTATCAATTTATCATTTAAAACAAACTTAAAGCTACGGCCGATGGTAACGAGAATGTATATTGCCTAAATATAGCCCCTTATTATACGAACCGGACCCTTAACTATTTAACTATCGTCTATTGCTATTTAAGTTTCCTGATTTTAGGGTTTCATAATCTTTGTCGTAATCATTCCTTTGGAGTCTATTCAATTTTCTTAAGCTTATGCTTTAAATTATTTTCAAATGTATTTGCACAACGCATTTTAATCAGGTAGGTACTTAATCGTTACATATAAACCTACACCAAATTCGTATGGAGCCGTTGGGTCTAATTAAGCCGTATAACTATTAACTAATTATCTTTGTTTTTTTTTTCATACGAGATGTTTGGCTTGCAAAAATTCAGATTACAATTATTTATTTGTATAGCATTAAAAGCTATCGAGTGATATAATGTTATTGTGTCATATTTAATGCATTTAAGTCAATAGTTTTCGAATATACGTAGAAAATACGCTGTTTACATAAATATAGGAAAATATATATTACGCAGCATATTATATAGGTTCCATTTTTTTGACGTTCCTTTAATTGGTTAATATTTACCTTTTTTCGAAATTAATTAGGTAGGTACGTAATTTAATATAAAAATTTTAATCTTATGGTTACATTGTTTCATATTTAAATTGCAGACATACACTTTTGACGAAATTTTCTCGGATTTATTAGGATTCCAAATCAAAGATGAATGAATAAAGAAAATCAAAATACTATGTATATTTTTTCTATTTAATATACATATTGATGTTATATTTATGGTCGTTTTAATATACATATTGATGTTATATTTATGGTCGTTTTAATATAAATAATAGTTTTAGTTAGTAATAACTAATAAGTATTATAATATAGGTACCAATATTACAATAGTAATTCTCAGTGGCGTGATGCAAAAGTGTAAGGTTAAAATATATAATGGACTATTTTTTATAACTCAATGACTAAACAATAACACACTATTTACAAAATCACAATATTATATTGGTTATTGGTATAACCCACAGATCATATAGCGTAAGAAAAATATGGAAAACAATAGTATCTAAGTTAAACAAACTATAAAGTGCATATATTACTTGATTACTTATTTTAATATTTTACATTTAAATGTGACAATTGCGTATAAATGGTTTTTGAATATTTTTTTTTTTTGAATTACCTGTTTGAAAATTATTGGAATACATATTAATTGAATAAATATTTAGATAGAAATTTGACTTACTGAAAATGAAAATTAATGTTTCAATGTTTGTGAACAAATCTTTTAATATTTTTAAACATTATATGCACCATTGAAAAATTAAAAAAATAAGTTTCTACGTTTTTTATATAAGTGTTTGTACCTATACATTTTTATGTTTGGGGAAAAAGCTGGTTTTTTTTTGTTTTTGATTTATTATGAAAAATGAATAGTATTTTTGTCTGTGAATAAAAAAACTAAAAAATATAGGTAATACAAGGTTCCTTGTTATTATTAATTTACAAAAATTTCCATTTTTTAAATTATTTAAATTTACTCACTTGATTTTACTATTCATTGCTTTACTAGTCGAAAATGTATGAACATTTTACTTTAAATATCTAATAGATTTACAATACAAAACAAATACAATGTTTCTCATAAGATTTTCTCAAAATTTAATTACATAAAAAATAATGAACGTAAATCCATATTAAAATGTTATAAGTGTTTAAAAATCTATTAACGATGTCATTTGGATTTTTTATTATATTATGGTTTTAGTTATTTTGTTGTTATTCAAAAAATATTAATTCCGGGAACTTAAACATTTTGTTGTTATTTAAATTATAAATTTCTTTATTTGATGAAATTTTAAATAGTGCTTTTAAATTATGTTTATATTGATAAAAAATTGTAATCTTTGTTAATGAGATTGATAATGTTACACAAGTCTCTTCATAAATTGTTTTTATAATTTAAAAATATTTAAAATATATATCGCAATTTGTTCGTTTTTAGTGTCTGAAGATCAAATTTTGTTTGCAAAATTCTTCAAAATAACTAACTATAGTTTAGTAAGTACAGTTATTTATCATTGTTATAAGATTCTATAGATCATTCAACATTAATTGTCGATATTCTATATACGTTTTTTTTTATTATAATATATATTATTACAATCATACATATAAATAAACAAAAAGTAACATAAAGAAGACAGAAGATTAAAAATAATGGTCAATGATATAAAATACATGAATAGGAGACCAAACAGTAACAGAACCTCTACGGCAATATCAATCATATAGGTACGCACATAATTATGAATTACTCATAAAAATTAAATATAACTCATCAAAATGTCATATTAAAAAATGATGCACTTAATAAAAATATAGTTCCGTTTTTTTTCAAGGTAAATAATTAAAAATGTGTAAGACAAATACACATTTTTAAAATATGAAATAATTACTGAATTACGTTAATATGGTGTTCTAAATAATTGTTTTAAGTTATGCTTATGACATTAAATCATTAAAAAAAATCAAGTGGAAGAATACTATTAACTATCCGTATTCCATTGCAATATATCAGAGTGTAATAAATTATTATTATACTTTCATTTTATGCGAATTTGATATTATGCTATATGAATATAACTTAGTTGTACATATTATATTAATATAGGTACATCTGTGTTAAGGAAATTTACTTCAGTGTAGACGCAGCTTAATTGTAGTGTAAGGTATCTACTAAAATGTATTTGCATAATCATATAGAAGTTATTATTATTATTATTTTTTTTTTTTTTACTGGTTACTTCCTTTCACGATTCATTTTTTCGTGCACTTTACAGCTGAAGTTCAGACCGTAATGTATCTCATTTTCTTTGGTGAGTCTTCAGTTTATTAACAATTTACATTTTGAATAAAGAACTACATATCAAACAAATAATCAGGTAAGTTTATATTATACGTTTAATACTTAACAAAAATCAATATTAAAAGTAACTAAACAATACACATTAGTGTATTTTTTAAATTATAAATATTTTGGTTAGTAAGGTTTAGCAGTATTAATAATGTTATGTAGAAAATATTCTATTCAATATTTTTTACAAGTCTGATATTTAAGAAATAATTTCTAAAATTGAACCATACAATATAGCATTGTTCATTGCCACTTATTTATTTTTTATAAGAATTTCATTATAAAATGAAAATATATATTCATTTAAAGTTCATAATTATTTTATACGATCTTTATTAAATTTATTCGTACAACATTATTGATGTAGGTTATATTGAAACTCTGAATAATAAAATATTATACATAACTTCGTTTTAAAAAATATAAACTTATTCATGTTAAATCTTAAATTCATGCATTATTTTTGAAATTATAAATTAATTATTTTTATCATAATTGTATTATAATTTATAGTAAGTAGAGAAAATATTAACACTTAGTTTGAGATATTTTCTTGAAAAATATTCAAGCCGTCTAAAACATACTTTCAAATTCCAATATTATACTTATAATTTTTTTCATATATTCAAAATTATCTAAGTTTCTAATGAATTTGTTTACATTATTCAACTATACATCAATACATTATATTATGTTACTTTAATTGTTATACACTGTAATATATAAAATATGAAGTATATTTTTTAAATTTATAATTTATTAATTTAGTATAGTTGTATTATTGCTAACTAGACTTTTTAAATAAGTCAATATGGGGTTTAACAAGACCTGACAAATACAAATAAATTGATTCTATAGTTGAACGTAAGACAAAAGTTAAATTATATGGATAATAAACAATTTAAAAAATATACTTATGTATATATGTCAGGAAATTCTCAAAAAAAAAAATTTTAAAAATTTAATAAGTTTCAAATTAATTACTAATTTATATACCCATAATATTCTATTTATTTATACCTCCAAACAAATATTTAAAATTTAAATAATTGTAAGAACAAACTATTTGACTTAAATAAACATTTTCATCGGCAAAATTTGACTAAAAATTAGATTTACAAATGGGCTATTTTGAATTCTTACGAAAAAAATTTAATAACATTTAAAACTGTTAATTTTCAGTATAAAAAAATAAAAAATAAAAATGTTATACTATATTTAAGCCACAGTCACATTATGATAGAAAAACGCGATAGTTGCAGCTATCGTGTTCTACTATGATCGTGTGATTGCGGCTTTAGGGCGTATGTTTCTATAAATTTTCTATATAAAAAAAATTATGAATAGTGATTAAAAAATTTTTTTATTAATTTGTCAGATCTTTCTATTACACTTATGCTTATATCCAAATTTTTTGTTTAATAATGAAATTATTCAAATTCTGATTTTTGGATTTTAATGACGACAAAAAAATGCGAGAATTCAAAAAAGATCTGAGTAGGTATATTTAAGAATTTAAAAACCCGAATTCGAATTATATCAGTATTAAAATAAAAATGGAGATGAACATGCTTGGCGAATCACCTTGTATAAAGTTGAATAGGTATAAGCTATGGATGGTAATTTATAGTGTTATAATATTTTTTATATTTGCCAGTTTTTATAATTTATTAGATGATACAATAAGAAACAAAGACGAAAAAAATTAATTTACTTGACATTATTATTTGCTTGATTGAGTAAACCATTCATAATATCACGTTTACCAGGTGATCTATTTTTATTTTAAAAAGTTCCGAGTTCTTTGAAAATATTTTTTTTACATAATTGTTGATATCATTTTAAAACAATATTTCTGAACAAAAAATTTATTTTTATTATTTCTAATCGTTATATATTTCTTTAGTTCTTACTTTTTCGAAAAACACTACACATTTGTAATTCTAAGTCTCGAAGAAGGATATTATTGAGAGTATTTCAATCTATAAAAATCAAATTTTGGACCAGTAGTAAATTGTTTATACCCGAGGACGCGCACCCGCATGTGTTGTCTTCGCTTACCTAGTACCTACACACGTACGACACAACAAATTTTCGTTCACTAGTTCCAATAATATGCTGTCAGTTTTGATATTAGGGTGAATTGACCTATCACCAAACTTTTAGTTAAGAATATTATCTGTGTTCTCTCTTTGGTTTTTACAATATTTTAGTTTTTTAGTATCGAGTATGTAGAGTATTAATATTTGAAAATGCTCATTCTTTACTTAAAAATTAAAATATTGTAAAAAACCAACAAGAGAATACAGATGATATTCTAACCTTTAAATTTAACTATAGGTCAATTCACTCTAATTTCAAAACTAATAGCATACTATTAAAACAAACTAGTGAACCAAAATTTGGTACGTCGTACGTGTGTAGGTACTAGGTAAGCGAAGACAACACACGCGGGTGCGACGTCCTCGGGTATAAACTACTGGTTAAAAATTTGATTTTTATAGATTGAAATACTCTCAATAATATCCTTCTTCGAAACTTAGAATTACAAATGTGTAGTGTCATTCGAAAAAGTAAAAAAGACAACACATGAGGGTGCTCTTAATGTTACTGATGAGCCGATATTCTTCTTCGGAATAAGTGATTGAAAATGTATAGTCATTAAAAATGTTTAAAATTATAACTATAAAAATTAGTCAAAAATGTTATTCTAAAATTACATCAAATTATGTATACATAAATTTTCAAAAAAGTTCGAAGTATTACTTGAAGTACTTTTCGAAATATTTAGTTTAGGCACTTAAATAGATCACTTATTGGTATATAGCTCGATTTTTAAACTTAAAATTGATTATTCATCCAAGTATGCTATAATAGGTTAACACGCCTCTCCGCTCAGTTTAAATGTACAAAGGTTTATCATTGAATTCAAATTTAACATATCCATTACAATGACTTACGCTCGACAATAATTACGGTACAGCTGCAGAACGGTACCCATTTATCCACCTTTTTAAATATATTCTTCTTGCCTTATTTAAAAATAGTTAATATATACCTAAGTTTAAAATCCAAGTTAGTTTATCAATGAATACTGAATAATATTACACCTAGGTATTGTGATGGTATATTACAGCTATTATTGAAATTTACTATCCGTTCTGGATCTATAAAACATACATAACGATTGTATGTTATGCCTATCTAAAAATATAATAAACTATATTTTACATGAGAAAAGAAACATGGTCCTATCATATAGCTTTCTTACTCCGTTTTGAATATCTTAAGCACAATATGATATATAAATAAAAGAATGACGAGATTTTTGCTTTTGACTTACAAATTGAAATTCATAAATATTAAAATGTCCTTAGAGTGGTTTTCTATTTTTTTTTCCAAACAAGTTATCTCAGAGATGATCGGTTTTGTTTAAGTTTATTTCTGTTTTGATTTTATTGATACCTAGGTACCAATAATAATAAATCGGGGTTCCGTAGGGTTTGATTTTATCTCACCATGGACCACTGGCCAAAAGATGTCGGAATATGCGCCATTCACGTCGTCGTACCATCGTTGTACGTCGATCAAACCGATTTGGAACGATACGACCGAGTGTCCGAGGGGAAATACACCGTCGGCCTGGGCCAAAAGCAAATGGGGTTCTGCACGGACCTGGAAGACGTGAACTCGCTGTGTCTGACGGCAGTCAGTCAGCTCGTCGAGAACAACGGCCTCAGCTACACGGACATCGGTCGCCTAGAGGTGGGCACCGAGACCATAATCGACAAGTCGAAGAGCGTGAAAACGGTGTTGATGAAGCTGTTCGAGGCAAGCGGCAATTTCCAGGTGGAGGGCATCGATACGACGAACGCCTGTTACGGCGGCACGGCCTCGCTGTTCAACGCCCTGTCGTGGATAGAGTCGAGCGCGTGGGACGGCAGGCTGGCCGTGGTGGTCGCGGCCGACATCGCGGTCTACGCCAAGGGCAACGCGCGTCCGACGGGCGGCGCCGGTGCTGTCGCGATGTTGATCGGCCCGGGAGCCTCGCTGGTGATCGATCGGGGCTTGCGGGGCACGTACATGAACCACGCGTACGATTTTTACAAGCCAGACCTGTCGTCCGAGTACCCGGTGGTGGACGGCAAGCTGTCGGTCGACTGTTACCTGAACGCCCTGGACCGGTGCTATGAATCCTATCTGAGCAAGTGCCACGGCGGCGATGCGGGCCTGGACCGGTTCGATTCGTTCGTGTTCCACGCGCCGTACTGCAAACTGGTGCGCAAATCCCTGGCCCGGTTGTACATGAACGATTTCGTCAACTGCGTCGGCGCGAAGGACGAGAACCGTAAGCATCAGGACTACTGGGCCTACGTCGAGAAGACGTTCGTGGAGCTCAGCAGGACAGTTTTCCAGGACAAGACCGAGCCGTCGCTGTTGCTGGCGTCGCGCGTCGGCAACACGTACACCGCGTCCGTGTACAGTGGACTGGCGTCGTATCTGTTGTCGGTGCCGCCTGAACGTCTGCCCGGCAAGAGGATCGGCGTGTTCTCCTACGGTTCCGGTCTGGCGTCGTCCATGTTCTCGATCAGAGTGGTGGACAACGGTAAGTTGTCGGGTCTGATCGATAACCTGAAGAAGGGCGTCGGCCGTCTGGATGAACGGACGCGCCTCGCGCCCGAACAGTTTGAGGACGTGCTGGACGTCAGGCAGAAGTCCCTGCACCAAGCCCCCTACGTGCCGACTGGCGACAGGGGACAGCTATTTCCGGGCACGTGGTTCTTGTCCGGTATCGACGAAATGCACAGACGGTATTACGAGAGAAATGAATAGACGTTGTCGTAACATGTCTATACGAGGTGATTGACACAATAGCGAGCCCCATTTTTTCATATTTTAATAATGACATTTTAAATGTTATTAAAGACCATAATTTTAATTTCTTGAGCTTTGTTTTTGCTACTTACCCGGGACTCTAGAAATGTTCTGTGTTTTCAAATTATAACCTATAATTGTTTCATATGTTGATGTAGATTCCAAATTCCAAATTCAAGCAAGTAGATTCTCAGTAATACTAAAATGTTTATTCTAAAGAGTAAAGATGATAATTTATTCCTTAAAAATGGTTTACAATAAATGTAATTTTTGAAAAAAATTATGCAGTTTATAATCACCCTTGGCTTTTTAATTTGTTTCGCTAAAATGGTATGTTTTTTTTATTGCGTATTTATGTACAAGTAGGCACGCCGTGGCCGCGTACGCTCAATACAAGGCATATCGTTGAAATTTTAATAACTATAACTTCTAAACTATGTCCGAGTGAATAATTCTGGTAGCTGAATTCCAATGTTCAAACACAAATAAAAATATTCACTAGAATCTAGTATTTATTATACTTCGATCATTTTCATAATATCATATCTTCTAAACCCATTATCGTAGACATATTACCCTATAATACACGAAGACGAAATTAGTATATAACTTAAAAAGTTCTCGTTTAAATTTTGATTTTGAAACTTCAATATAGTTTTCTGAAAAATTGTGCTCCAGCTTGTTTTATTTTAGCTCTAGTACCTTTATCAATAAATAATCTGTTTCATCTTAAGCTATTTTATAGTTTCATTACCTATCCTTAACGTATGTTAAATGGTTACGCCCCGTTTGTCATTTCGTATAAAATATTACAAATGAATAAAAGTAATTCGTTACCTAAGTAATTTGCAGCAGTAAAGAGAGTTCTTATTTGAAAAACACAGAATTTTGTATCTCCAGTCTCCACAGAAGAAACCTTAAGTGGTACAAAATATCTCAATTATTAGAAAATATGATCTTTGAGTTTATTTATAAGAATTCCGAAAATCGGATTCTGAAATAAGTACATTATTGAAGAAAAAAAAGGGTCAATCACTTTGTATTGTATACTCATAATTTGTAAAACTGCAGTATATCGAGTAAATGATGATTGGTATTGGTACTTTTTAAAATGTGTAATTAATTTTAATTATAAATGTTATTGCCTTATCGGATACTGGTTTCAATATTGCAATAGTTTTTAAATTTTTTTAAACATATATTAGGTATATGCACGTATTACGTATATAATATGACGTGTTAAATTATATTTATTTCGGATGAATGTGGTGATTAACATTTTTCATTAGTATTATAATTTTGGTGTGTGGGTTTAATTTTCAATAATTATTGTGATAATATTAAATCGTTGCTGCAGATTATTCAATTTTTTTTTAATTAGATGTAGATATAAGAATTTTAATACTGTAAAGTCTTAGTTAAATAATTATTCACTGCAGATTTTAAAAATAAAATATGATTGATACTTATGTTAAATAAATATATTTTAGCTAGAAGAAATTTTGATTTAATATTTATGTTCATTGTTTATATCTTTATAGTTCCTCAAGTAGTCAAATAGGTTACTTACCGTTCAGCGGATATCGAGTGTACCTATATTGTCATTGTCCATTGAGTGGGCGAATTACCTTTTTACCCGCATAATAAAAGTAATGTGTTTGAGTATGATACAATATGAAGTATAAAAATAAAATTGTACAGATCAAGATAAAAATATCATATAAAGATAATCTGGGATATGTATATGTCATCAGGCAAAATTAAGGTTTTAGAGTATAGGGGTAAAATTTCCAAGAAAAAAAGTTTATAATACAAAAAACCAATATATATTTTTTAATCTTAATAATATTCTATCTTGATTTATAATCATTTAAATCATTTAAATTTTTAATCACAGACACCCACAAACAAACCACTTTTAATCGTACTAGTGGAATTCACGAATAGTTCCGGGTCTTTCAAAATGAGAGGGAAAATAGATTGACTAAATACAACATCCCAGGATATTAAAAAAAGTTCGCCCAAACACAATGCATGTTTAAAATTACTCGGCCAAACGGATTATGCTGAATTTCTCAAACACATTGCAATTTTTAAAAATTCACCAACGCAAACCGCCTATATTGAGAATGCCACTGTAATGCGTGTATTAAATTTGAATTCAATGTAAATCACTGGATGTATGAACAATTATTTTGAACAGTGAAAATCTTTCCCCTTATATTATTACTTATAGTATATTTTTACAAAATTGATATTTGGTATTATGAATTTACATTGCTATATAGTTATAGACCATAGTACCTATATCTACTATAGACTTTAGGTAAAGCTAGTAAAATAGTAGATTTAACTAATTTTATTTTTAAATTAATTAAATTTGAACTTAAATCGCTGATAAAAAATTTGGAGGAATTTAATATTAAACTTTGTTTTCATTTCAATTAAATGTCCTTATGAAAAATCGTGTATACAATTTTTCAGTCTTAGGCATATATAAGCTTAAGATATTATGAATTTTCAACTATAAAATAATTTGCAAATTTTCGTGAATTTGACGAATTTTGTAAAAATTTCAAATTTATACTAACACTCATAGAAAAAATTGTGATAACATAGATTTTCGAAACATATTTTAAATGCATAAAGACAAATTTATGAGAGACATTATATTTAAATTTCGAGTTTTTACTCAACAATTAAAATGTCATATTATATAGTATTATACTTAAATCGAAAAAAGACTAAAAAAAGTGAAAATGTATATGTTTCTGCAAAAGTTTGAATACCGGTGAAACCTAGGGTATGCAAAGTAGTCTGGTCAAACCCCGAATGATTTTTGTAGTTCGGACTTTTACAAACGAGATTTGGCAAATCTTAGGATGAACGACCAATATTGGTGAAGGTACAAAATGTTTTGCTTTAATTATTTTGTGATATTTTCCCTTTGCTTTATACTCTTTATATTATTATTTAAATATATTAGTACTTATGTATAGCTACAACTTATTAGTAATTAGTACCTATATTAGGCACACACATTTTATTAAATATTACTGCAAACATTTAAAGTATTGTATGCAGCAGGTGGCATTTTACTACGATCAACTTTGAGAATTTTCATTTCGACTTTATTATAAATTATGACTTTTTAGAATCGTCAATAGTTGCAGATAGTGAAATTGGTATTCATCATACGGTATTTATATCAAAACTATCGTTGACTGGTGGACAAGCAGGGTTAATAACTAACGAGGTGTGACTGTTTGAAAAAATGCATTAAAAATTGACGTAAATGACGATCCAAAAATGTATTGTGTAACTCGAGATGCCACAGTAGCCAAGTCAGCACGGATAAATAATTTTTGTAATAAAAGTATACTTACTTTGCTAAATTTTTAATTTTTTAAAATTAACAATAATAATATGAATGAATGTATTGAATATACTAGTAAGTAGTAGTTAATGTATTGTACTTAATATAGATACTTATAGATAGTTTTTATACGAGTATAAACAAACGGGAAAAATATCACACAATAATTATGGTAAAACATTTTGAACATTCACCAACACTGGTTGTTTATACTAAGATTTGCCAAATCTTGTTTGTTGCAGTCCGAACTACAAAATCATTGGGAGTTTTACCAAACTATTTTGTATATCCTAGGTTGTATCGAAATCAATCGGAACAGACATTTGCCGACATTAGTCGACAAAACCTGGGATTTATCTATAAGCCGCATACCTATCTAATACAGTAATACGATAATATAATGGACTATGTGGTTGTACATATCATTATGTGTTTAAGAGGACGCCATACCCGTATAATATGTGGTCTTTGTCTTACAAAATATATAGAACATACCAAAAACTGTTTCCGCGTGATAGAACCTCTCAGTCTGTAGTCCTAGTTAAGACACCAAAAGTGTACACAATATGGAAGATAATATTTTCCGAGTCGTAGCATTTTATTATTTGTTTGATATCATTAATGAGAAAAAAGTTATAATAGGTACTTTAAAAAATTTGATATTTTTACGTTTTCCAAATTTAGGTAAATTTTAATTTATTGGTCTTATCGAAGAAATAAAAAGAGTTACGACACAATTAAAATTCTTCTCTAATCATAGTGAAAATTTGGTTTCTTAGTTATTACTGTAGGCCTTCTCGGTTCTTTCTTGCGTGAAACAGTTTTGGCTATGTTTTATATTAATTGTAAGACTGAGACAACACATGCGGGTGTGGAGTCCTCTTAAGAGTCCTGGTGTCATTGAAGGTTGTTTATGGTTATTTTATTTTATTAGTCTAAACTTTAGACTTTATATCCTAGGTAATGTTTTATAAATGGCGTGCCAACAAATCCTAAGTTTCGCCGGTATTGGTAATTTTACCTTAATATATATTATAAATAGCATAAAAAGATCCAAAATATATAAAAATTAAACAAAGTCTAGTAAATTATAATGTGAATATTTGGTGAGTATGTAAAATCTCTACGGTTTTTTATCTTTGAATAATAACAAAACACAAAAACGATTTTGTCAAAAATTGGTTTTGCTAGGAGTTGGGAAAAATCCTGTAAGCAAAGAAACTAGGAAAAATTACAAGAAATGTAAGTACCTAGCTATTTGCACAATATCATAGGTACGCCCTTGTTATTTTACTGCTTAATGACAACACCGACACCCGACTTATACACCTAAATAACGAGAAGATACAAATTTGATTATAATTTTTAACAATATATTTCTTCCTTATTATTGAGAAGTTCTTAAAAATATAAATCAAACATTTCTGTTACTACTTACGTGTACTTATATTGTATTCAATTTATTGTTGTTGTTTACCTGTTACACTTTCAGATAGGTATAATATGCATATGTTTTTGAGATTAACTCTAAATTTTGTTTTTATACTACGATAATTTCATCAACATGCTACATTAATGAATTAACAGCATATGCATTCCCATACTCGGAATATCTCTAAAAATATAATATTAAAAAATATGTTTTCTTTTTATTATACGTGTATAGTTCAACCCTAAAAAAACAATAATATTCTTCCTCGTACAGCTTGTGAGCGCATACTACTGACCTAATAGAATTTGACTATTAATTTCACTGTACTGCAGATCATTTTTAGATTATTGGATTATTTTCTACATTTTCATATATCTATTATTTATTATTGGTATGTTAAAGTTGATACTTCTAAACACAATTACTTCGTATGTATTACTATTTGTATATTTGTATTAAAATATACATTTTTACAATGTACTTACCAAATATTGAACTCGGTATTTTTGATAAATATTCTCGATAAAATCGTTTTGAAAACCACTCTGAGCAGCGAAATTCTAGTGACCGGTACTGTTTTCACCAATTACCGGAATATGAAATAGACCGGAGTATAATCCACGTGAATCAGGATTCATTCTTAATCATCTGAAATTCACTGGGATTATATTTTAACCATTATTATTTACTATCGCCGGGTTTGAGGTACAGAAACAACCCTGGGATAATGCTGTTCAATATTTCCTAGTAGTTATTGCGATTTTAAATTATTAGTATTTTTATGTAAACGATAAGACCTAAATATAGATACTTATACTTGTTAATATAAACATGTTATTTATAACTGTATACCTAGGTACTGTATAGTGAAAATATAATAATTCATACATTGTAAAACTTTAAAATATGACACCATAATTATTAATTTACCATATTCTTTGCATCACAATATAATAATGTATAGTTATTTTAAATGTAAATCACATATTGTATTAAATTTAAAGAATCGGGTCGTACGGTGAATTGTATAATATAAAGGCGACCAAATGCATTGTTAGTATTGAATTATAGATTATAGTATTGTGCATTTGTACCTATATATAAACGCCTTGTTTATTTAGTAAGAAATACGCATAGTATTTACTTATATTGTACAACAGACAATTTACCTTTCATATTTAGATATAATAAATGGGGTTTAAGAGGACTTAACACTGGAATTTGTTGTCTCTGTCTAACAAGGGCGGAACATAGCAAATTTGAGTTCAGCAGATCACGTATAGCTTTGTTAGCTTAAAAATTAGAAAGAGTCGACCTATTATGGAACTTGATGATAAGAACATTATCTGTGCTCGTATGTTGGTTTTTTAGGATAGTTCAATTTTTTAGCAAGTTATGCGTATATAATATAGAATAAACTAAAAGTGCTCATAACTCACTTAAAATTGAACTAAAAAAACCATCATACGAACACAGATAATGTTCTTAAACTATCAAGTTTTGTAATGTGTTGATTCGCTCTAATTTGTAAACTAACGAAGCTACACGTGATCTACTGATCGTAAATTTGGTATATTACGCTCCAGTAAAACGAAGACAACAAATATATGCTAGTGTTACGTTCTTTTAACTGTAAGTATAGTGAAATATTATTTATTGCAACTGTAACTTATTGTGTTGTTTATTTTATCTTTTGTCGATTTATATTATAATTCTCATTCAACATGCATATTACATATATATAGTATAATAGGCTATATATGTATGGCGTACGTACAGTGTCGTACACTATATACAATAAAATAAACTAACAGCATAATTTCAGTTGTTACGATTGTTGAAAATGTTTGCAGGTCACTTTCAAATCATCGCAGAGGAAATAAAGTTTAAACTATACTACTGTAGACTGATAAAATCACTAAACAACCTTGAATGACACCAGGGCGCTTAAACACGTATTATGTACACCCGCATAGTCTAATAGTCCATCATAATAATATTATTATCATATTACGTAGGTATACGATTAACTAGTTAATAACATGGCTTAGCACGTTTAGCATAGTAGCTAAGGGTCGTCGTGTTATCTTCCTTTTTTTAAAGATTACATGCGCTATCACCGTGTCTTAAGTATTTCTTGGCTATATTCCTTGCAATTACAACCGTACGTGTGAAAAAAGACACTAAATAAGATACCACTTTCTCTATTTTTTGTATATTCTATGTGCGGGCAAACAGACGACACCAATTATCATATTATTATCATATATGAATAAACACTAATTACTAATAATTATTATCACTCTTACTCTCCCTCTTTGAAAAGGTATACAATTTATCATCGAAATTATAAATTATAACTACCTATCGGGAAATAAAATACAACGTTCATAAAACGGGTGGATGATATATTTTTTACTTTCATGGTATTTAATCTAACAAATTAATAGGTATCTAGTTTAATTTTTGGATTTGCTTAATATATTTATACTTGTGAGGTTAGTATATAATCGATCATAAAAAAATGTTATAACACTTTAGTCTTTTTTTACATATTTAATTTTTTTCTATTTCATAACCTCTAACCCTTTCAGTGCTAAATTATTATTTACATTGCTGCCTGTCTGTACTGAATTTATTTTTTATTTTTATTGTTTTAATTATCATATATTTATCATATATGATAATCCTTGAAATTTGTGATTTGAGGAGTATTGGTTTATTCCATAGGTATTTATCTTATTTCACTATTTTTTTTTTAATTAACTTGAAATTTAATAAGCTTTAGGTATGGCTTGTAGTATTTTTCATAAAAACTAACGAAGCGTAATATATGCCAATAGCCTGTGGGAACTGCTATGCCAGGGTGTCGTATAAATACGTCCATACTACATAGCACTCAGAACTTTTGAGTAAAAGGCTAGGGATAATATCCCTTATAAAAAGTCAATTTGTATGGATACAACTGGAGAAACAATAATTTATTTGACCTCAATTTAAAATCGAATTTATAAAATCTTAAATAAAAAATTATAATTTTTCTGATAAATTCCTGGTCTTTTTTTACGTTATTATATATGTGTACGAGTCGGGACTTAACCGGTGAAAATGAGCGGCGCTTCATTGTCATGCACCCTCGATTAAAGTCTTTAAATACTATAATTTAATTTAAAGATACCATGGTTGCCCGATGGGCCATGGCATACGCGATATCACATATCAATTTAAATTTCTCGCAGAATCAGTAGCTTATAGCTATCTGAGTGCGCTCTTTCTATGCAAACATATTTTTCGAATTGACATTAATTGTAGCTTTATAGTATGGTACAATATAGTTCATACACACTCCACTGCGGTCTACGAGCGCTACAAAATTGTCTGATTGACAAGAATAAAATATTATACGAAGACGACAATATTCCATCGCTAGTCGGGTAACCATTACAATATCTATAGTCGTGTTTCACCCCATGGCCGAACTACGCACGCGCATCCACCCACCACCCCTCTGTGGCCTCGTAACCGGAGGCACGGGATTCCGTCCGCTCTGCACTGCCGCGGCGCGACCAGTTTCGCCGCTGTAGTCTAGCGCTGCATTCCTGTTTAGGCCAATATCCGAACCGGTCGAACGCCGCAGTCGCCGGCGGGTCGTCGCTTGTTTCGATCGTCTCGTGTCGTGCACTCGTGCCGCGAGGTACCATGCGACTCGTGCCACATCGACGATCGACATAAACCGTCGAAATCGCTCAAATCGATACAGACGAAAAACGTTCCACGTAGGTACTGTCTACCTTGGCAAAATACCATATCCGAGATGTACAAAACGCTGACTACGTTCACGAGAGCCCTGAGTCGGCGGACCGCGTTTTCGCTCTGCCCCGCGGTTGCAGCCGGCCGAGAGAATCACTTTCGGTAAGTCCGATAGCCGCCATGGCTTCTGTGTATACTATAACGTATAGTATATTATGACGTATTATACAACCGCCATAATCAAACAATGATTATAGCACTATTTGTATTGTAACATATTATATAATCAGGTAGAATATTTTAAAAGCGATACGTCCCTTTGTTCAGGTCCATGAGTGTTATTCTGCCGCCACCGGTGACTTCGGTTATAACCGGTGCATTGGTCAGCAAGGACGAGCTTGGAAATTTCATGGCAGTGTTTCCAGACATCGTCAAAGACCTGACGGACACCAGCCTTCAGTTGAACAAGCCCGACGTCACCAAGTGGCTAGAAAACGAATGTGCCCATGGTTTTGTTTTGCAGCTATACTATACGAGTATAAATTTTACGTTTTGTTTTATTGTAGTTATTGCAGTACAACGTGCCCGGCGGTAAAAATAACAGAGGATTGATTTTGGTATCGTCGTTTAAGATGCTGTCCTCGCCGTCTTATCTGACCGACGAAAATCTAAGGTTGTCCTACATACTAGGATGGTGTGTTGAAATAGTAAGTGGTTTTGGGTTGTAACTAGAGGAATTTTTTTTTTTTTGTTCTTAAATCAATTTATTTGATTAATAATTAATGTTAATATTATATTCAATTATTATTTATTAATGATAATATTATTTACAATTATTATTTATTAATGATAGTATATAACTAGGTACAATTATTATTTATAATTGATACCAAGGTCCGTTTTTAAGGGGTCGGTTCGGTGGGAGAAATTAACTCTATTGTTTTAGTGACATATATTTTGCTGTTTTTACCTTGTTTATTTTAAGAATGCATTAAATTATTTTATTAATATTGTTATAAAAAAAAACCAGAAAGTACCAACTATAGATATAGTTTACTACTGCTACCAGAAACACATTTGAAGTTAAAACTCAGAGCATTTTTACTGCTCCAACAAAAGAAATAATAATTTTTAAAATATTAAATTACTTAGGATTCTGACCGGATCAATGAATGTATTGATCTTACAATGATGTATGTTTTTATATTTATTAATTTTTTAATTTTGAAAAATTTGATTTCGGTTTTTGGTGTAAGTCTAAAAATCTAACCGTAAACATATGAAATTTTCACCAAATGTTTATTTTATTATTTTCCATACACTATGCAATTTTTTAAACATTTAGACTTGATTTTTTATAGACATTTTCAATTTTTCTCAATTTGTTTTTTCTTTTAATGTTGCCGCTTCAACACAGCAATAAATGAGAGCATATACCTAGGTATTTATTATAATTGAATATATGTATATTATCGGTCACGGAGGAACATCTGGTCTCGCACACAATAATCCCTTTTTTTGTATTGTTTTATTTTTGTTATAATTATTATTAAATTTGTCTTGTAAATAATATGTAGATTAGACAACGCGTTATGCCGCCGCGACGGCTACGAGATTATATTATTATATTAGCACGGCTGTCGTGATTTTGTCTTGTACCGTAGGTTGTCGCAGCAGTACTGACTTGTGCAAATCACCATTCTTTTATAGCTATCTTTTTGTGTTATACTTTTATGTTCTAATCGCTTTTAATTTATAATTTATACTAGCTATATTGCTTAGATTTTGTTCTATCAACTGTGTTTGCTGATCGCCGTGGAAGTATTTAGTATTACATTCATTCGTTGAGTGCAAACCGCTACTTTTTATTTATATCATTGATTATTTTATTGTATATAAGCGCGATTCACCACGTACATCGTATTATAATATTATGGCCAGCAATCGTCACTTATTATTATGTCTTGTGTGCGCTAATCGCCACCTTGGAACCTCTTGTTATTATTGTATTTTTGCGGGTATCGATTTTATTATAGGTGTAGTGGCAGCAGTACTGCAGTGAGGTTTTATTTATTATTATTATTATTTGTTGAGCCAGAAGTGCTATAAATTGTGTATCGTTTAAATGTCTGTACTATACAACAACACAATCACCAAAAACCACATTACCGATTTTATTAGTTTTAAATTTTAATTGTAAGCACACCTACATACTCATATACACAAATAAGCAATACACATATTACACAACACACGTTACGTAGCTCGACAGTATTTTCCCGGCGATCTCGACCTCTATTATTCGAACTATTACACCACTACATACACATCCAGCTAGTCCTTCATATTTTTAAAACTTAGGTGTTAGTGGGGCGCAAAATGAACTCCGTACCAGGGCTCGCGTATCAATAGCTGTTAAAAAATATGATTTGTTGTATAAGCTTTTGAATTTAAGATGTTGACAAAATTTATTGAACTTAAAATTTGATTGAGCAATACAATGTGCATTGGAAATTAATTATAAATATTAAATATTAATTTTAACATTTTTATTTTAGTTGCAAGCTTATCAGTTAGTGATGGATGACTTAATGGATAACGCTATTACTAGACGAGGACGTCCATGTTGGTATCGGCATAACGATGTTGGTCTAATGGCAGTGAACGATGGCATTCTTCTCGAACAAGCCATTTACCAATTGCTAAAAAAATACTTCAAAGATAAGCCTTACTATACACACATTCTGGAACTGTTTTATGACGTATGAAATAATAAAAAAACGGTTTTGTATTAATTTTATGATGTCGTTAAATTTACAAAATTTAGGGCCGTCTTTATAAAAGAATAAATAAGCCTAGGACCTAGGTAAAACTATTTAACGCAAAATAAAAAAAACCATTTAATTTTAAATTTTTGTCTATACTATTTATATTGCTGCATGACATGTAATTAAAATATCACTGGGGCTTGAGGCTTCTTATTGATTTGTATACTCTCCTGAAACGAATTAACAATTATACTTTTTATAGGTTACAATGAAATCTGCTATGGGTCAGTGTCTCGATATGTTGACTGCAAAAAGCTTCAAGTCAAAGAAACTCGAAAAATACACTATGGAAAACTATAAAGCTATTGTGAAATATAAGACTGCATATTATTCGTTTGTTCTTCCTGTTTGTCTCGCCATGCGCATGGTAAGCACTAAGCTCGATACTCATATTAGTAATTTCATAAATCGGTTTGTAATATATTATAATAAAATAATTTTATAGACAAACGTCAACGATCAAGAAATCTTTAGACAAGCAAAGGTCATATTGCTTGATATGGGTCAATTCTTTCAAATTCAAGTATATACTGTTAATTTAAATCAACTACTTATAATAAGTAAAAATCAATTTATTTTAGGATGACTATTTAGACTGTTATGGAAATCCAGAAATTACGGGAAAAATTGGCACAGACATAGAAGATGGAAAATGTTCATGGTTGGCTGTGAAGGCTTTGCAAAAAGTCACTACTGAACAAAAGAAAATTATGGAGGTAATATAGTGCTATTTCTGACTACTGTATTGTTTGAACATTTATCTGACTGATTATTGTTTTAGGATAATTACGGTATTGATGATCAATTCAATGTCGCAGTCATCAAAGATTTATATCAACAGTTGAAGTTACAAAACACATTTCTACTCTACGAAGAAGAAAGTTATAATTTAATAAGAACTTGTATTCAAAATTTTTCGCCAGGATTATCACAAGACATGTTTTTCAAATTATTGGAAAAGATTTACAAGAGGACCCTCTAAATTCGAATCTTCACCAAATTCATTAATCAGCATTTAAATAATTAATTTATTATTATTATTATTATTATTATTTCTTGAGTTGTATGCAGTCTTAAAAAACAGGGTACTAAAAAAATATACTTTGAGTTGATTGTACCATTTAAATGTTAAATCATATTTTATGATTACTTTATTTAACACACAATTTTTACCTACTACTTATAAACAATATTCTAAGTTTAATATTCAGATAATAAATAATTTACAATTTTTAAAGTATTAAACTATTAAATACCAAATTATATATTATTTTATTATACTGTATAGACTCCACAATTGTTATATTTTTTAAAAGTTAAAATTCGTTAAAACGTTTGACAATTGACAATATAACAATGAAAAAACTTAATAATTTTACAGTATGTTAAAAGTAGGTAGGTATCTATGAAATATCTATCAAATCTCAAATGTGTTAGCTATGGTTTAGGCAATTGAAAAAATGTGGCCAAGTGGTAACCGTTAGGTGTTGTGTGGGTCACTTATTAATGGATGTGTAAAATTTGAATTCAATGGCATAAAATTATTATACACGAAAAACGATTCTCAGGCGATATTACTTAGTATAGTTAGAAGTTTAGAATGTTTTATACTATAAATATATTATCGCTATTAAAGTAATTTATGTTACTAATAGACATTAATATTTAGTAGTACAGTAGGTTGAATTAATTAATTAATAATTTGCATGGGAAAATGTCATTGTATATCAAATATAATACAATACTCTAATGGGTGTCCATTCTGCTGGATTTTAAGGAAAATTGTATAGGCAACTTCTTATACATTCAGCAATTAGCCTTGTTGTTGTATTAGTCGTAAATGGTCGTTAGTTGTAGAAATCCGCATTTCAGTGATCCACTACTAACCTACTGTACAGCAGAGTGGCATATACTTACCAGCTTTTTTATTATTAAATTTAGATTTTTTATTCCACTGATTTTCGAAGGTTGGTCCGCAAAAAACTGGCATATTTATCAAATCGATCAGACTGAGTCGGGGGG